TCGTTTTTCTGATACGGGCGGGTGGGAACGCTGGCTATTAAAAATTTATTTAAAACCTTTTCAATTGTCACATTTGAAAAAGCATTAATCCTTCTTCAATTTGCGACCAAGAAACAAAAATTGGTCAAAAATTGTTCGAGTTATGAATTTTTTTCCGATTTTTTTTCCAATTTTCGTTTTTCTGATACGGGCGGGTGGGAACGCTGGCTATTAAAAATTAATTTAAAACCTTTTCAATTGTCACATTTTAAGAGCAATTAATCCCCTCTTCAATTTGCGACCAAGAAACTAATAATTGGTCAAAAATTGTTCGAGTTATGAATTTTTTTCCGATTTTTTTTCCAATTTTCGTTTTTCTGATACGGGCGGGTGGGAACGCTGGCTATTAAAAATTTATTTAAAACCTTTTCAATTGTCACATTTTAAGAGCCATTAATCCCTCTTCAATTTGCGACCAAGAAACAAAAATTGGTCAAAAATTGTTCGAGTTATGAATTTTTTTCCGATTTTTTTTCCAATTTTCGTTTTTCTGATACGGGCGGGTGGGAACGCTGGCTATTAAAAATTTATTTAAAACCTTTTCAATTGTCACATTTGAAAAGCATTAATCCTTCTTCAATTTGCGACCAAGAAACAAAAAATTGGTCAAAAATTGTTCGAGTTATGAATTTTTTTCCGATTTTTTTTCCAATTTTCGTTTTTCTGATACGGGCGGGTGGGAACGCTGGCTATTAAAAATTTATTTAAAACCTTTTCAATTGTCACATTTGAAAAAGCATTAATCCTTCTTCAATTTGCGACCAAGAAACAAAAAATTGGTCAAAAATTGTTCGAGTTATGAATTTTTTTCCGATTTTTTTTCCAATTTTCGTTTTTCTGATACGGGCGGGTGGGAACGCTGGCTATTAAAAATTTATTTAAAACCTTTTCAATTGTCACATTTGAAAAAGCATTAATCCTTCTTCAATTTGCGACCAAGAAACAAAAAATTGGTCAAAAATTGTTCGAGTTATGAATTTTTTTCCGATTTTTTTTTCCAATTTTCGTTTTTCTGATACGGGCGGGTGGGAACGCTGGCTATTAAAAATTAATTTAAAACCTTTTCAATTGTCACATTTTAAGAGCAATTAATCCCCTTCTTCAATTTGCGACCAAGAAACTAATAATTTGGTCAAAAATTGTTCGAGTTATGAATTTTTTTCCGATTTTTTTTCCAATTTTCGTTTTTCTGATACGGGCGGGTGGGAACGCTGGCTATTAAAAATTAATTTAAAACCTTTTCAATTGTCACATTTTAAGAGCATTAATCCCTCTTCAATTTGCGACCAAGAAACAAAAATTGGTCAAAAATTGTTCGAGTTATGAATTTTTTTCCGATTTTTTTTTCCAATTTTCGTTTTTCTGATACGGGCGGGTGGGAACGCTGGCTATTAAAAATTATTTAAAACCTTTTTAATTGTCACATTTTAAGGACCATTAATCCCTCTTCAATTTGCGACCAAGAAACAAAAAATTGGTCAAAAATTGTTCGAGTTATGAATTTTTTTCCGATTTTTTTTCCAATTTTCGTTTTTCTGATACAGGCGGGTGGGAACGCTGGCTATTAAAAATTTATTTAAAACCTTTTCAATTGTCACATTTTAAGGACCATTAATCCCTCTTCAATTTGCGACCAAGAAACAAAAAATTGGTCAAAAATTGTTCGAGTTATGAATTTTTTTCCGATTTTTTTTCCAATTTTCGTTTTTCTGATACGGGCGGGTGGGAACGCTGGCTATTAAAAATTTATTTAAAACCTTTTCAATTGTCACATTTGAAAAATCATTAATCCTTCTTCAATTTGCGACCAAGAAACAAAAAATTGGTCAAAAATTGTTCGAGTTATGAATTTTTTTCCGATTTTTTTTCCAATTTTCGTTTTTCTGATACGGGCGGGTGGGAACGCTGGCTATTAAAAATTTATTTAAAACCTTTTCAATTGTCACATTTGAAAAAGCATTAATTCTTCTTCAATTTGCGACCAAGAAACAAAAAATTGGTCAAAAATTGTTCGAGTTATGAATTTTTTTCCGATTTTTTTTTCCAATTTTCGTTTTTCTGATACGGGCGGGTGGGAACGCTGGCTATTAAAAATTTATTTAAAACCTTTTCAATTGTCACATTTGAAAAAGCATTAATCCTTCTTCAATTTGCGACCAAGAAACAAAAAATTGGTCAAAAATTGTTCGAGTTATGAATTTTTTTCCGATTTTTTTTCCAATTTTCGTTTTTCTGATACGGGCGGGTGGGAACGCTGGCTATTAAAAATTTATTTAAAACCTTTTCAATTGTCACATTTTAAGGACCATTAATCCCTCTTCAATTTGCGACCAAGAAACAAAAAATTGGTCAAAAATTGTTCGAGTTATGAATTTTTTTCCGATTTTTTTTCCAATTTTCGTTTTTCTGATACGGGCGGGTGGGAACGCTGGCTATTAAAAATTTATTTAAAACCTTTTCAATTGTCACATTTGAAAAAGCATTAATCCTTCTTCAATTTGCGACCAAGAAACAAAAAATTGGTCAAAAATTGTTCGAGTTATGAATTTTTTTCCGATTTTTTTTCCAATTTTCGTTTTTCTGATACGGGCGGGTGGGAACGCTGGCTATTAAAAATTTATTTAAAACCTTTTCAATTGTCACATTTGAAAAAGCATTAATCCTTCTTCAATTTGCGACCAAGAAACAAAAAATTGGTCAAAAATTGTTCGAGTTATGAATTTTTTTCCGATTTTTTTTCCAATTTTCGTTTTTCTGATACGGGCGGGTGGGGACGCTGGTTATCAAAATTTATTAAAAATATTTTCAATTGTCACATTTTTAAGAGCAATAACCCCCCTTTAATTTGCGACCAAGAAACAAAAAATTGGTCAAAAATTGTTCGAGTTATGAATTTTTTTCCGATTTTTTTTCCAATTTTCGTTTTTCTGATACGGGCGGGTGGGAACGCTGGCTATCAAAAATGTATTTAAAAAATTTTTTTAAATTTTTTAAAATTGACAGTAAGCAAATAAATAAATATTGCAATAAATGACCAAATAAATAAAAGGAAAATGAACAAATAAACAAATGCATAAATATAGCATTAAGAGAGTAAAGAAATATAATAATAAATAAATAAACGAAGAAATAGAGAAATTAGTTAGTGAATAAATGTAAATTCTAAATTTGAATAAAAAATGCTACTTTAGAAAGAAACGTTCGAGTAAAAAGTGCCAGTGCGTATTTTTAAGTAGGTAAAGTGCGTTGGGTCAGACAACCCATTTTTAGTAGTTAAAGTTATAATTCGTCAGGCACGATTAGTTTGTTAAGTAGTTAAAGTTAGTTTAGTGAGACATTTTCTTTTAAAGTAGGCAAAGAACTTTTGGTATACAATATTAATTTCCAAATAGATTAAAACCGTTTTGGTAAGACATTTTTTTAATGAAGAATAAATGCAATAAAAATGCTATTTCCTACGATAGAAATTATTTAATTAATTAACTATTTATTACTGAATTAATTATCAATGAATTATTACTAGCAATTTATTTTCAAGTAGATAAAGCTGTTTACGGTAAGACAGAACTTTTACGTTTATCAAGTAATCTTTACCCCGAAGTAGGTAAAATCATATGAGTCAGACAATTTTTCAAAAGAAAAAATATCGTTCTTCTGATAAAATTATTTTTCAGTAGATAAAACAATTCTAGTCAGACAATGACACTTGTTTAAAATTTAAATACTTCAACAATATTTTAGTCAGACAATGACACTTTTTAAATACTTTAACAATTTCATGCAGACAAGGTAAAGCCGTTTCAGCCAGACATAATTTTTTTTCGCTCACAAAAACAGAGAAATTTTCTTTAAGATATTTAACAACTCTTTAAGTAGTTAAAGCTAGTCCAGTAAGACAGAAGTATTTTTAAAAGTAGTAAATAAGCTCACGTCAGACAATTTTTTATTATTAAGTAGATAAAGCCATTTTTGGTCAGACTTGTCTGTTTTAAATCAAAGACGTTTTTCTAAGTGAATATTTTCAAGTAGATAAAGCTATTAATGATCAGACCGAGCACAACTATTTGAAAACAGTTTAATACCTTTTCTCAAATTGTTATATTGATATTAATATCAGTAAAACTTTTGTCTGACTAGAATAGTTTTACCTACTTTTTTACTACGAAAAAAATTTTTTTATTGTTAAAATAAACCCTCTATAAAAAAAGAAAAAATCCAAAAAGGAAAATTTATTATGACAGTAAAAAATTAAAATAAGTAAAAATCATAATTAAAAAAAAAAGAAATGAGAAATAATAAATGAAAGAAGAGAAAAAAAATGGCAATTTCACCCACGTGAATGAGTAATGGTGTATAGACTAGAGGGAGGGTTTTAAGATGGAATGCATATGGATGTAAGAAGATCCCTGAACCTCGTAACAATTATTATTATACTGACTTACGACGGTCAAAGGAATTTCTGAACGCATAATGTGATTGGCTATAAAATGCAGTGTGGCACAATTTATGATGTTGCATCGTAATAACGATTTGCGAAATACGTCAGAGGCGGGACCCGCTGCACCTAACTTGTCCTCTTGTTATAATATACTCTAAAGATTCAAGTTTAATTAAGTGAAGTCGCTCATTAAGGGCACCTAACTACCTAAACGTCTATATAGATGTAAATGTTCTCATTTATTAAGTTATCAGCTTATTAGACTCACGACAGATATGGGATATAAATCAAAATTCATTTCTCACTTATTGCGAGGCAAATTAATTGCGAAATATTTCATTAATTAATTTGTAATTATAAATAATTACAAAAATTATATATGTTTATAAAAGATAATAAAAATAATAACAATGACAATGAAAATGAATAAAAATTGAATGCAATAAATGTATATTCTCTCGCTATATATTATTGCAATAGAAAAAAAAAATATTGTTTCTTAAGTGACACTTAGTAAATTTCACTTTGACCCGTGAAATTTTCAATTATTGCCCTAATATAAAGACCTCGCGGTTTGTTTTCGAATCGACGAGGCAAAACATTGAGAAATAATTATATCAAACTCTGTCTATATAAAACGATGCTGTGAACACCATTTGACCACAGAAAAGATTTTCATCTCAACGATAGATACAAACTTGGATAAAAATGAAGTCTCTAGTGAGTTTATTATTGTGATTGGAAATTTAAGAGAAAAAAAGATCAAAGCAAATCTAACAATTATTATAATCTAATTATAATAACTGCAATAATAATAATTATTCTAAGCTAATTATAATAACTAGTAATAATAATTATAAGAACCAAACGATAAATTTTAACTATAATTTCGCCAAAAAGTATATATAATATCTAATTATTGTTACTATAAATTTCATTAATAATTATAATTATAATATAATATCATTATAATTATTATTATAATAATTCAGTAATAATTATAACTAATAATTAATTATTAATTATAATTAATTAATAGTAATAATTAATAAATTTTATTAGAAACAATAGATACTAATAATAAATTTATAGTTTAACAATAATTATTATAACGAATAATAATTATAATAGTAATTATTATTACTGAAAAGTATAATATTTATTTACTATTTCTGCAAAAATAGAAAACTATAAATTAATTCTTTTTTTAGTAATAACAATATTTATACCGTTAGTCACAGTTATTAATTTTAGCGAAGAACAAAAATAATAAATTAATATTTCCACATTCTTTTGAAGAAATATCAAATTTCAAAAAAGGAAAAAATAATAAATTCAAGAAAAGAGAAAAATAAAAAAGTTTAATATCTACGGTCCGGAAATTTGTGGTACGTGTTTATTTTTTATTTTTTGTTTTTTTTTGTTGAAGGTGGTGATCGCATCGATGGTATCAGTGATCTTCGCGACACCAGAATATTACGCTGGAGGACAATATCCATATCAAGGACCATCGGCGCCAATTGGCCACGATGGAAGGGTAATTGATACACCGGAAGTGGCATTCGCAAAGGCAGCTCATTTGCAAGCATATGCCGATATTGCCGCAAGAATACCTTTCGCAGGACCTTCAGACGATTACGAGGGAAATAATAGTCACGATAACAATGATTATAATCAAGTTCATATGTATAATTCACATCCGTATGCAAGTGGATCCTATGGTTATTCATCACCCGCGCAATTTAGCAGTAGAATCTTTCATGTTCCCCAAGGATATCATGGACCATCTGCTCCACTAAATCACGAGGTTCCATTTTTTCTATTTCTATTTTCATCTTCAAAAAAAAAATATATTTCCCATTTCTTTTTTAATTTTCAAACAATTTTTTTTTCTATTTGTTTTTAATTTAAAAAAACAATTTTTTATTTCTATTTCAACTTTAAAAAAAAAATTTATCGACTTTTTTAATATTATTTCTATTATTTTTTCACACTAATTCAGATGAATATTTTTTTCCATATAGAAAATAAAATACAAATAAATAAAAAACGTAAAAAAAAATTTTTTTTTAATTGAAAAAAATTAAAAAATATTATTTCAAAAAAAAATAATAATTTTTCAGGGCAGAGTGATTGACACGCCGGAAGTTGCGCAAGCCAAAGCAGCTCATTTCGCGGCATTACAACATGCGGGAAGTGCGGGCGCGTATAATTCGCATCATCCCCATGAATCACCAGCAAAATTTGCCTATGGTGTGATTCCACCTCCTCCTCATCATCAACATAATTACGCGGCTCCAATTTACGGAGTCGGAAATTATCATGGACCATCGGCTCCTTTGGCTCACGACGGCCGAGTCATTGACACACCGGAAGTTAATCAAGCAAAAGCCGCTCATTTCGCTGCAATTGCCAAAGCCACACATGGACCTTATGGACACTACGGAATTTATTAAATTCTCCATTCTAACAAATAATAGAAATTTTTTTTCAAATGCAAAATCGAAAAAAAAATTCAAACTAAAGTTGAAATTAAAATTGAAAAAAAAATCGAAAGAAAACTTAAAATTAAAATCGAAAGAAAACTTAAAATTAAAATCGAAACAAAAATTAAAATTAAAATTGAAAATAAAATTGAAATTCAAAATGAAATTAAAATTGAAATTAAAATTGAAATTATAATTGAAATTAAAATCGAAACAAAAATTAAAATTAAAATTGAAAATAAAATTGAAATTCAAAATGAAATTAAAATCGAAATTAAAAAATAAAATTTCTTTGAAATTCAAAAAATCGCTTTAAACCAAAAATACTCTTTGTAATATTTTTACTTTTAATGAGATAAAAAAATATGTTCTTTAATCAACATTCACGACGTCTAGACGGTATTTCTTATGAAATCAAAAATCAATGAATATGTTAATGTTAGTCATGGATTTTATTTATTTAAATTAATTTAAATCCTGTTTGCTTTTATTACAGGTGTTTCTCTTTCTATTAATAATGGATTAATTTGTAAAACAAATTTTTCTACTCTCTTTTCTAATATCGTGAATATGTTTTTCAATTACCCGTTTTTTTGCAATTATTTCGTTAATTTATTAATTTTATTGTTAATTAATTTTATCACCGTTTTCAACTGTATATAGTTAGTTAATTTAAAAAAAATGTATGAGCAAATTTTTTACAATAAAAACCTTCAGATAAATAAAATCACTTTTCTGCCTTTTCCTTTCAAAAAATTAAGTTTTTAGAAATTAATAAAATTATTTTTAATTTAGGAAAAATAGTAGAAGTACTACCAAATTTTGTATAAATAATTAATTAATTATTAATTAATTATTAATTTATTAAATATTTAATTAATTGAAAATCGTGCATTAAATTTTCTCTGCGATTAAAATTTTTGTAAAAGAAACATTTTTCTAACAACCTAAGCAATTTAATTAATTTTTGAACCATTTTAACAAATTATTTCTCTAATTTTTAATTTTTATAATCGAAAAGTAATGCAGAGTTGTGTCCACAATTTTTTTTTATTTCATAGAATAAGAAATTGTTTAATTGCTGAATGACACCTCTGAATTTTTTTTTTCATTTTGTGATTTACTTACAATAGACAAAAGTTGCGATGCAGCAATGATCATAATATCATCGACAGTGGGCAGAGAGTGAGAGAAAAAAATTTTTATTTTGAAATCCAAGATTACGAATAATAAACCCAGGCGCGAAAGACCAATGCTGACGATGGATTGAAGATTTATTGAGCCTTGAACGCCCAGCCTGGGTAACCCAGTGTTGAAGCAGTCTTTATACCACTGTCACTCAATGTTGATTCAGCATTGGACACCACTGTTCGTTCCATGCTCGATTCAAGACTCGGTCAATCTTTGTGAGTGAAGCTCGAACATCTGATCTTAATTCAAGCCTAAATCAATCTTGACAGTTTATTTATTGACGTGTGCACTTAAAAATATTAAATATAAATATTTATAAATTAATTAATATTAAAATATTTTTTATGATAATTTTGTATACTATTTAAAAATTATTATTAATTATTATTATTAAGATATCAATTGGTAAATAAATATTAATATTTATCTAGTGTATAATATTTATATTAATTATTAATTTATTAATAATAATAATAATAATAATAATAATAATAATAATAATAATAATAATAATAATAATAATAATAATAATAATAATAATAATAATAATAATAATAATAATAATAATAATAATAATAATAATAATAATAATTATTATTATTATTATTATTATTATTATTATTATTATTATAAAAAATATTAAATTAAAAATAAATATTAAATATTATTTTTTTTTATAATAATAATAATAATTATTATTATTATTATTAATTATATAAAATTTATATAAATAAAGTTAAATTATACATTATTATTTTTTTCTTGCAGTGTCAAATAATTGTTTTCAAAGTTCAAGAGTTTCGTTTGTCTGAAAAATTTTTAGTGTTAAAAAAATGTTCATTAGGGTGTAATAAATATTTATGCCTAGTAGTTTTACACTAGGATTAACTGTTTAGTAAATATGTATTATCAAAAAACTATTTTTTGTCAAACGCGTGCGATTAAACACAAATAACCTTGAGACTTTAGCATTGCCAACTTAAGAGTTTAACGTATGTGTTGAGTTGGTAATGCTGGAGTTTCAAGGTTATTTGTGTTTAGTCGCGCGCGTTTGACAAAAAATAGTTTTTTGATAATATTTACTAAATAGTAAAATTAGTAGTATTAGTAAAATAGTAGTCCTAGTGTAAAATTACTAAGCATATATATTTATCACTACCTAATGAACATTTTTTTTACTAATAATTTTTCAGATAAACGAAACTCTTAAACTTTGAAAATAATAATTTGACACTGTATACAAGAAAAACAATAATATATATAATTTAACTTATAAAATTATCATAAAAAATATTTTAATAATAAATAATTTATAAATATTGATATTTAATATTGTTCAGTGCACACGGTAATAAAGAAAGTGAATATTGTATCAAGATTGACCGAGTCTTGAATCGAGCATGGGACGAACATTGGTGTCCCATGCTGAACAAATATTGAGTGACGCGCCGTATATACAGAATATACGGCGCTGGCATTGAAATAGTAGATTAGGCGAGGTGCCTTCCAGCCTTCTGTGGCCGAGCGGTTTAAATGCGTGCGTTTAGGACTTCCGGGTATGCGTTAGGGGCGGGGTGCGTGAGTTCGATCCCACATGCGAGCGAATATTTTTCATTCTTTGTTTTAAGCGTTATATATAATAATAAAATTGTGTGTTGTGTTGTGAATAAAAAAATGTGAATATGTTTGTAAATAATATTAAAAAGTCTGCTGAAAAATCGAGAAAAAAATGTACCGATTAACAGAAAAATTGGTTTCTTTTACTAAAATTATTTTTTTAATATTACTATTTCAAATGAAATTTATTGTTAGTAATATATTATTTATATGAAAATAATATAATTATTATAATAATAACTTATTTCCAAACAAACGCATATAACATGAATAAAAATAATATCAATAATATTCATTACTATTATAATAATAATAATAATAATTATTATTATTATTAATATTATTATTAATATTATTATATACAATTCATATATATTCATATTATATTGAATAAGCGCGAGAGACGCGTAAATTTGGGAACAGTGGAAGCAGCCTTATTTCAGTCCTGCATTATAGGGTTCCGCAGCATTGATTGAACATTAAACGCCAATCTACAACAAAGACTGGAGCGTCAGTCTTAAATAAGTGTTACATTATAGCTAGAAGCAACCTTCGTTCCGCCGTCCCACCAAGGCTTGATCAATGTTGACCAAGCCTCAACGAAGGTTCCGTAAAGCCTGAATCCAGCGTCAGTTCTCGCCTGGGAAGTAACGATTGCGTATCAATGAATTCAAATTATTTGTAATAAAAATAAAAACCAATTTCTTTTCCTCTTTTTACGCACGTTTCAATAAGTTACTAATCAGCCGTTTGATTCAATTAATTTTTTTCCCCTTAAAAAATTAATTCTCTTGTCAATTTAAATAATTATAAATAATTAATTAATTAATTAATTTTAACAACTTTTTCTGTTCTATAACCTTGTTAGAAAAAATTTTTTCAGCTGTCAAGGGAGAGAAGCAAATATTCTTTTTTTTTAAAGAGAAAAATAATTTTCTTCGTTTCTCAACAAAATCATAAAAATTATTTCACGTGCAATTAAAGCTTCGTGTAAATATAATATGATTTTTATGTAATTTTTTTCTTCTCTATCTGCCAAATCGAACTTTCGCTTTTGAGTGTGATTGAATATAGATTTCAAACATATATATGTTTATCGTTTACTAAATTGTTATATCATATCCTTTTACAATAATTTTACCCTGATTTACATTTATTGCATATATAGTGCAAAATTCGCATGTTACACGTATTTATATTGTATTTGAAAAAAAAGATAATATCGACAAATAATTATATAGATAGTAATAAAATATTGACAAATAAACAATTCATTAAATAAATTTAAAGAAATAAATAAAATATAATAAATAAATAAATATTATAAATAAATAAAAATAATTAACAAATTTTTGTAAATAAAAATAAGTAACAAATTCTAAACAAAATATAGAGAAAAAAAATAAAAAATAATAAACTTTTATAAACAAATAAAAAAAAGGAATTAACCTAAATTTTTGTTTAGCTGAATCGTGTAAATTTGTTTTGACAAAAAGATGTCGCACTTTTTTTGTTTGGGAAAAAGGAAATAAATATAAAAGTGAAAGAATTCACTCGCGAGAAAATTGGAATATTTGTCTCTTATCTGGTCCATGTATTATGTGGCTCTATAAATAAACTAACAACATTACAATAGACGTATAATATCCGCCTTTTGCCTCCACAATGCATAGCATTACTAGACACACCTTTCGTCATCGTCTTTTTGCATTTATGAATGAATCTTGTTAAAAATGAAATTAATAAAAATGTCAATATTTAAAAATAAAAAACCGTCTATTTACTTTTTCTGGCAAAAATTGTTGTGAACCAAAATTAACTTATTCATATAAAATTCTATTAATTTTTTTTTACCGTTTAATAAAATAAATAATTAATCTATTCTATTCTAAAATAAAGAATAAAAATTACATTTATAGATTATTAATTTAATATTGACAACTTAATGTAAAATTATTTGTTTTAATTAGAAATTATTATAAACGACAAAATAGAATTTTTTTAAATTCAATTAATCAATAATTGAAAATTAATTATTAATTATTAAAATTAATTAATCAATTGAGGCCTTGGATCCAATAACTCGCCCGACGCTCGGAGGAACGCGCAACTGCCAGTCAGTGAGCAGTGAGCGCCTCTGGGCCACTCACTGCTACCCGACTGGTATTAGCGCGTGGCTTCGAGCGTCGGGCGAGTTATTGGATCCAAGGCCTCAATTAATCAATAATAAAAAATAATTTTTTTTCCAACTAAAAATCACTATCAAATATTTGTTGTAAAATAATTTTTTTCCAAACAATAATACATTTTAATTCTTTTTTAGTCTAAATTAATATTTCTTACATTTATAAAACTTGTTTTTTATTTATTTTATTATAAATAAATTTCTCTTATATTATTTATTTAAATTATTATTATTATTACTACCTAAACAGTGAAAAAAAAATTTATTTGATTCAAATAACCGATTATTTATGTCTATGAAATATATATTTACTTGAATCAAATAATATTTATTTAAATTAAATAAATTATATTTGAACCAACAATTTCAACATTTAAAGCAAATATGCATATTTTCAATTCATGAATTGAATTTAATTGACTCAAATAAAAATTATTTGATTCAAGTAAATATTTATTTGATAATAGAAAAATAATCGATTATTTGAATCAAATTTATTTATTATTAATTTATTTATTATTTATGATTGTGTATTTTAATCAGTATTATATTATCAGTGTATTATTTATTATATTACAAAAAAAATATATTATAAATAAAATATATTTAATTTTTTACTAAAAAAAAAAAAATTAGAAGTGTGGCCTATCTTTGAATATAATTGAACTTTTTTTTCTATTCAAGTTTGTTGCAGTAAACGAGTTGGAAAAATCGCGTGGGCCTTATCGTGATCTTCAAAGGTACATGTTACGCTTCAAAAAATTCTCATTGAAGATATCGATTGCTCGAGCGATATACACTGACTTTTCACCCTTTTACTTCAATTATCGGCTTATAAAAATTAATTTTTTTTCACCTATAAACTTTTACCGCTCACTTTTTATCACTTTTATATTTCATTCATTAAATTTTTTTCATTGCTCTAAAAAATAAAGATAAATTTTCTAATTTCAATTTTAAAAAAAAATAATAATAATAAGAAAAAAAAATGTATTTTTTACCCTAAAAAAATAAAATTTAATAATTAAGTAAATCTCAAATAATGTTAATTAAAAAAGAAAATAAAAACAATTAGGTATAAGACAAACAATATGTTTTGTAATTAAAAAAAAAATTTTTTTAAATATAATAAATAAAATAATATAATAAATATAATAAATAAATAAATAAATTAATAAATATTTTTAAAAAAATAAAAATTAATTATAAATCAATTATAATTTTTCTTTCTTAATCATCATCATCCGAAAAATATTGCCGCGGTAATTTCTAATTTTCCCCGAAAAACAATGCAATAAAATCATTTCAAATGAAATAATTTCTAAATTTTTTTTTCTGAATTATTATTATTATTATTATTATTCCTACTCTAAACGATACAAGACGAATTATCGAAGTGAAAAGTAAGACAAGATTGCATTGTGTGTAGACGAAAAGTTATTGTAAACATGCAAACTAAAATTATATAATTCAATTTCAATAAAATATTCGGTCACGAATTCACGCAATGTTTTATACGGTCACTGGAATCAGTAACGATTTCTTGATATATTTGATTGAATAAATTCAACGGTAAAAGTTAATTTGCAATACACCTAATTATTAAAAAAAAAATCTACGCAGTAATTTTAATTATGAATTGTGTGTATTTTTTTTCTCTTTTTCATTTTCAAATAATTTTCCCTCTTTAATATAAATTTTTGCAGTCGGTAACTCTCTCATTGTGTTTGAGGAGAGCTCATTATTATTACTATGAAAATCAACAGCGAATAATATAACTTGTCTGATTTATCGACTGCTGTCTCAATTTTATTAATTATCAATAAAAATTAATTTTTTAAAAATAGGGAAATTTATTTTTTACATACGAATTCGTTTTTTAAGAAATAATTTTTTTTTTTAAATTAATTTTCAATTTATGAAATATTTTTCAATTTTTAAATTGACATTTAATTTTTGAATTAATTTTTAATTTTAAAATCAAATTTTCATAAATAATTGATTTTCCATATCAATTTTTCATAAAAAATTTAATTTGTAATTAGAAATTAATTTTTAATTGCAAATTAATTTGAAATAGAGAATAATTTATCTGATTTATCTAATTAAGTAATTTTCATATTAAAAATTAATTATCAATAGAAAAATTACTTTTTAATAGGAAATTAATATTGCAATTGAAAATTAATAGTCAATAGAGAATTAAATTTCAATAAAGAATTAATTTTTGCAAATTAAAAATTAATATTTAGTACAGAATTAATTTTTGTAAACTAAATATTTATTTTGAGTGCAAAATTAATTTTGAATAAAGAATTAATTTTGTAATTAAAAATTAATTTTCAATATAGAATTAATTTACAGAAAATGGATATTGAAATTAATTTTTTTTTTTAATTTTTGAATAAAGAAATAATTTTGTGTTTAAAAATAGAATTTCAATAGATAAGCAATTTTACAATTAAAAATCAATTTTCAAATCGAATTAATTTAATTTATATCAATTTAAATCGTTTCACGAATGTACAATTTTCAATTGAAAATAAAAATAATTGTTATTGAATGAAACAAATTTAATTAAAAATAAAAATAATTTTATTGCGATAAAACGAATTAAATAAAAGATTTTATTAGGATGAAACGAATTAATTAAAAATAAAAATAATTTCAACCAAATAAAAAAAAAATTTAATTGAAAAAAATTTTCCAATTGAATTAATATTAATTATTTTAATATAATATATTTAATTTCCAGTTTCTTTTTTTCATTAAAAAAAAAATTCCAATAACATTTTCCTGATCCGCGACAAAACATATAATTTCTGTATTTATTGTATTGATTTAATTCATGTTGACAACAAAATCATCCACTTAATTAGAAACCAAAGAATATAATTTATCAGAAAAGAATAAAACCAAAGGAAAAAATCATAACTGAATGAAATTGTGAATTAAGAGGAAAAAAAATTGTATCTCTTCAATTTTATCAGGGAAATGTCAAGATAAAATTTACCATGAAACCGGAGACAAGAGTGGTATATAATGTTTTTGAGTTCCGGATTTTTTCTCGTCAATAAACCTGCTTGATCGTGAGAACACGAAATGGGTATTCACATAGAGAGAGAGAGAAAAAATCTTTAGAGAGACTTAAGGGGGTCTTTCTCTCTCTTACTCTCCCTCGAAAACTGATTCTTTAACATTCAATGTTCACTTTATCGAATCAAGAATATCTGATTCGTACCTTCATGTTCCTTGTTTCAGGAAAAATCGAGCGACTTCGGAGGACATTCGTTCATTGCTCCGACCTTCACTTATTCAAGACTTACTCTCAATAATAATATAATTACTTTCTTCTTTATCAAAAACATCAAACTGTTCATTGTATTTTTTTTTATTTATTTTTCTATTTAAAAAAAATCTCTTCTCAAATCCATTATAAAATCCCTCCAGGAAAAGAAAAAATCGTTCCGAACTTTGCTGCCTTTTCCTCTATTTTTTCTATTTTGTTCATTTTTTAATTTTCGAATTTTTTAAATTCTAAATTTATTGGCAAATAATAATTAATTACTGTAAAAACCACAAAAAAAAATATTTTCTTTTTTTTTGGTAATTTTTAATTAACTAAATTATTATTTTTCAAATTTGAAATTCGTTTCGAAAATAATTAATAAAATGATAAAATATCTGCGATAAGAATTTTTCAACTTGCATACAATTTTTCTTTAATTGTAAAAAATTTAATGTAAATAATTGTAAAAATAAAATTAAAATAATAAAATAAAATTCAATTCGAATATTAACTCAAACGTTAAATATTGATTTAATAAAATAAAATTAGCTAATTTTCAATTTTCAAATTTGTAGCTTGTATAAAAAAATTTTTTTTTGTCATAGAAATTAAAAGAAAAATTGAAAAAAAAATTTTTTCTAGTTTTTAAAATTAAATTTAAAATGATAAACATGTGATAATGATACGAAGAACAAATTCCTCATTAGCGTGAGATAAGTGAAAAATTAATTAAACAGCTACTGTGTGTATTAAAATGTTCCAACGCTTGCTGAATACAAAAAAGAAATTTACGATCATTTAAAAGTAATAAAGTTTATACTTTTAAAGAGAAGAACTCGATGTTTGAGATTAAGAACATAAAATCCTCTTTCCTCAAAAGGAACGTGATCGCTTTTTTTTTATTACCACACATTGAACTAACAAGATCCTCATTTACTTTTCACATTGTGAGGTCTGATCACAACTCACAACGAACCACAATAATAAAAATAATATTGATTCCACATAAATTGTAAAAAAATAATTTCATATGGAAAATTTTGATTCTAATTCTTACCTTAAAATAAAATTCCGTCGCGAAAACTTGTGTCCTCTTTTCTTCTACTTCAATCATTCCTTTTACCTTTTCATCTCCAAACTTCGGGAATTCTTTTTCCCTCTGGAATTCATTTTACGATTCGTCCTTTAAATTTTCTTCTACTTCTCGGACTCGGAGGATTGGAAATTTTGAGAAAATGACAATTTTTTGTCATCGCTTACTGAAAAATAAAAATTTCGTTTTAGTTTTAAAATTTGAATATTTAAAAGTTTTAGTAACTGAAAATTTATAAATAAAGCAGTCGTACCTGTTTTAGATAACGAGGTGTTCCAAAAGTGTTTCGTTAAAATAAATTGACTTCTTCATTTCTTCTGATTGGTATTTTGCCAATTTCACCGATTTTGAAAAATTCCATGAAATTGTTACCGAGATACACCACGGGGAGGTAACCAATCTTGTATCCCAAAAGAATCTATTTGAAAAAGAATAGACAATAAATACAAAAATTGAATTAGAAAACAGAAAAATTTAAGTAAAATCAAAAATTAAAAAATGAATAAAAGAAAAAAAAGTGGAATAAATAGAAAACAGAATGGAAAAATAAATAAAAAACAAAATGAAAAAATAGAAAAACAAATAGAAAATAGAAATAATTAGATAATATAAAACAAAATTAAAAAATAGAAAAACAAATAGAAAATAGAAAAAATGAATTAAAAACAAAATTAAAAAATAAATAAATAGAAAGTAAAATAGAGAAATAAATAAAAAACAAAAATAAAAAAATTGAAAAATAAAAAAATAATTTGATATGTAACTAGAATAAAAAATAAAAAATAAAAAAAATGTCTAAACAGTCGAAAATAATATAAAGCAGAATTTTTTTCTAACAAAATGCAATCCTATAAAATTTAATCCTTTCGAAAAAGGTGGTTTTAAGGGAAAAAACAATGTTGTCCTTTAATATTCCCTTCGGACTGCAAAATAGTATTTAAATTAAAAGTAATGACCTTAAGTCCTTTAATGGAAATTCATTTGGAAAAACACGTCACAATTGACGAATATTTTATGGATCGATAGAATTTAAATTCAAAATGACCTTGACAAGAAAAATATCAATCAAATGACAATTTCTTAATTTTTATTATTATATTCTGAATAAATTATTATTAATTAGACAAACTAGTAACCAAATAGTAATTCAACACTTTTATTGACAATTTCCTTCCCTTTTTGCGATAAAAAAAATTTTTTTTTCAAATGTTTTGAAATCTTTTGACTTTTAAAAAAAATTTATTTATTTGTTTAGTCACTTTTTATCTAATTACTCAATTATTATATTGTTTCAGGAACTTATTTACACGTTCATTTAATAATTAAAATTGACATTTTACCAAATTACCATTTTTCATAAAACTTTATAGCAAAAACGTGGAAAAATTGCAATTTTTTCTTCTTCTAATTTTTCATTGACTATATAAAGACATAAATTATAATATTAACTTTATCGCATGACCATCAATATTTTAATTCATATTACAAGTAAATATCCGACCTTGATTTGTGAATGTGTTGCAATAAATCTAATTAAAATTGTAGAGCAAGTAATCCTTATGGCCTAGATTAAATTTATACACGATGTCATTTTACATCATCAATCGCGTAAGAATTTCATACACTCGTTGAGGAAAAAAAAATGCATTTTGAAAGATTTTTAAATAAGTTCCTGAAACATTGAACTAAATTTATTACGTAAAATTATTTCAAATCAATAAAAACAAATTTATTCTTGACAAATATTTAAATCTTTCAATGTTATCCAATCGCTTCGCAAACAGCGACAATGACGATAATAATAATAATAATAATAGTAATTATTATTTTATTGATTTTCTATTAATTTTAACAGATTAATAATGTTAATACATACTAAAAATATGAGAGTGGGACTTTAAAAATAAAACCAACAAAAACTAACCGAACCAAAAATTAAAAATATTATTTGTTATTCTCTATCAGTTATTTTGAAAAATTTTAATTAAATTCTGTATGAAAATTGAAATATTTTCAATACAATTTTAATTAAATTCCTTAAAAATATTCAATTATTTTCGAAATTTATATTAATAATTTTTATAAAAATTCTTTGCAAAAATTTTATTATTTTGAAAAATTTCAATAAAATTCTTTATAAGAAAAAAATTTAATTCCTTTCCTAAATAATAAAATTCTTCGCAGAAATTCAATTATTTTTATAATTAATAAATTATTTTCATAATTATTAACCTAACGTTTCTCGAAGGAATTCAGTTATTTTTAAAAAACGTTAATTATTACATTCTTCGCAGAAATTCAATTATTTTTCAAATATTTTGATAAAATTCTCTAAGAATATAAAAAATTTGTAATATTATTTGAATTAAATTTCTCGTACCTAAGAATTAATTTATTTCTATTGATTTTAATTAAATTCTTCTCAAGAAATTTAATTATTTTGGAAAATTTTGATAAACTTCTTTATAAAAATTCAATTATTTTGGATTAATTAATCAATTAAATGGATTAATTAATTTTTGATAGTTTTTAATCTTCAAAGCAGTACATTAAAATTTCATTAATTTTAAAATTCAAAATAAATTACAAAGAAAAAAAATGTAAGAAAGTTAATAATAAAAATATGAAAGTGACTCTAAAAACAAAAACAAAAAGAGCACAGAAACCCAAAAACGGAAGATGATAATAATAATAATAATTATGTTTATTATTAAATAATAATAAACATTATTATTATTATTATTATTATTATTATTATTATTATTATTATTAGTAATATAATAGTATTATTTATATTATTTCCATTATTATTACTATTCGTTCATTGTGCGTTCAATTCAAATAAAAATAAATTCACGATAGTGATAGAAAAAAAATTTGCTACCTTTGAATATAAATGCTGCCCACGCGAGGATGAATTCCTGGAAGTTTAATTTCTAGTTCTATTCCTATCGGCACCTTGGTATTAAGATTGCGGAAGTAAAGAAGAAGAAGAAGACATCTCTAAGTCTTCGGCAGAGATTCTTGAACTCTGAATTGCTAGGAAGCAAAGACGACGACGAAGAAGAAGAAGAAGAAGAAGAAAAAGAAGAGAAGTAATCCATAGACTTTTGCTTTGGTATTCCCGAGTTATGCGATAGTGTGTAGGCCCACGGTATAATGCCCCAATGAAAAAGACCATCGCACATGGTATAAACGCAGGGATGGAGTGATCGCCTTTCGCCTCAGGCAAATGCTCCTGACCTCGACACACACGTCTCTTGATTATTATCAAGTAGTTGTGTATATTGACTAGACGGATATCAGAAGCGGCTTATATTATATGTTTGTAAAAGGGCGCCCCTTGTACCCGAAGCGCGGAACGTGAGACGAAGGCCTTCTCTCTCCTTGTCTTCGTCATCGTCATCGTCGTCAAACGTCGTCAACGTAATGTCAATGTCAAGCATCTCTTTTAGATGTAGCACTTGCTTCAGGGCGTGTTCCCCTCCAGGTCGACGACTCCCTACCAGATTCTCATACATATAAAGGGGGATCGAGAGTCTCTTCGTCACAGCATAACAGTCCATACACCTTTAGCGAGTACTGGAAATCCAGCAGCGCACAATTTCAAGAAAAATCATGAAGACCTTCGTAAGTAGTCAATGTCAATCATTCATTCATCATCATCATCATCTACTTTTCCTCTTGTTCTCCCGCTCCTTCACTTTCTTCCATCACTTTCCAATAATTTTCCACTAATCTGAAAATTTTACAATCTTTCAAGTCTTTTACATTTCATACAATTTTATTTCAATTAACAATTTATTTATTTGTCATTTTTAATAATTATAGTTTATCATTTTTATCCTGTCTAATATTCAATTTCTTTTAATTTCGAATCTTATGATTCAATTAACAATTATGTAAGTGTACTTTTAATTCAGTTAACAGTTCAGTGTATCTATTATTCAATTAAGTGTATTTTTAATCCAATTGACTGTTTTTTCAATTCAATTAAGAGTTTTCCAATTCAAAAAAGTGTAATTATCAGTTAACAATTAGGGGCAAAAAAAATAATTTTATAAATAAATTCAATTATTTTCAATTATTCAATTATTTAATTTTTTATTATTCAATTATTTTCAATTATTTTTAATTCAAATAAATATTTTATCAAGGGTAAAAAAATTTATAATTTTATAAATAAATTGAATTATTTTATATTATTTTTAATTCAAATACATGTATTTATCAATTAATAATTAAAGGTAAAAAAATATAATAATTCAATAAATAAATTAATAATTTGAAACAATAATTTGCTGTCACAATTATCTTCAAAAGAAATTATTTAGTGAAGAATTACTTCCAATTAGTTATCTCTATTTTTCTTATTTTTTACAAAAAAGAATAATTTGTTTCGGAAAATTGTCTATTATTCTCGATTTTTTTCTGAATTTATTTGTTAAGTAAATATTAAATTTATTTGCTAAATATTCAATTTATTTGTTAAATAAATAAATTAATTAATTTTAATCTCATATTTTTCGAAATAAATACATTTAAAATTTTTAATGATTATAATTTATTTTAATTGCCGATTAGATAGAAAAATAAATGTCTCAAGTTAAATAATTATTTATTCCAGGCAATTAATTGTCACAATTGATTAGAAAATTAAATATTTCATTTAAAAATGAATTATTTCAATTTAAATAATTTTTCTTCTTGGAAAAAATTAATAGTAGTTTAAAAAATTTACCTTTTCAATTCAAGATCTTTGTCAATTTGGAACAATTTCAAAAAAACGGTTCAAGCGGAAACCATCGATGCAAATTTGGCTCATGGTCCTTTTAACTTTCAATTATTCATCTCAATTCAATTTAATATTCAAAGCAGCTTTCTCATCGAGGAATAAATACCATTTTCGTAGTTAAATTTTGATAATTTTCCTGTAAATAAAAATATATTCTAGTTAGTACAAAATTTCAACTAAACTTCATCTCTAAGTCAATTATTTAAAATTTTAAAAAATAATTCCGATCCTTTAAAATCAAATACTTTTTAAGAATTTCTACTGTAACTTATTAAAAATTATTTTCAAAATTTCAATTTAATTATTTTCTAGAAATTTTAACTAAAATATTTCTAAAATCTACATATTCACAAGACAATTTCATGAGATTTTGAATAATTTGAAAGTTTTTCAATTAAATATTATATATTTTAGAACATAACTTATTTGAAAAGAGTGTGAATAAAAATGTTTCAAAAAATTCAATCTATATTAATATTAGTAATATTAATTTAACATTCTAAAATATAGAAATAATTGATGTTAATGCAAAATACGGTTTTTTAAAAATTTATTTTCTAAGAAAAGAAATTTTATTTATTATTTACTTTATTTATTATTTAAAAATTAATTTTTATAAATTTCGTATCACTTTTGTTCTGATTAGTTCAAATTTTTACTAATTCAAATTTGTTTTGTTATAATATTATTGCAAAAAAAAAATTTATAAATTGATTTATTTTTCTTTATTTTATAGGATGTGAAATTATTTCTCTTTCAAATTTTTTTTTTTAAATAATTTCCAAAATCCCGGTCAAGATCAAAATTCACTGTCATTTCCCAGTTTTTCCCGGTCGAAAAAAATCCCCTAGAAAGAAAAATAGAAAAGAATAGAAAGAAAAATAGAATAGAAAAATTAAAAAATTTAAATATTAAATTTTAAGTGAATGTAAACGAATAATTTTGGAAATTGCAGATTATCCTTTCGGCGATAGTTGCCCTCTCGCAGGTCGAGGCCCTCGTGCAACCATATTACACTTATGGTGGTTATTATGGAGGACCGCTCGACACTCCCGAAGTTGCGAACGCAAAGGCCGCACATTTAGCGACTCACGCCTATGAAGCAGCAAGAAATACTCTCGGTTACGCTTATCCTTACCAATATCATCCAATTGCCTACGCAGCGCCTCTCTACGCCTATCACAGTTATGCCCTTGGTGCTCCACTCGGACCCGATGGACGTGTCGTTGATACTCCCGAGGTTGCCCAAGCAAAAGCCGCTCATTTCGCCGAACACGCCAAGGTACGTTAATTCAACAAATTCTCCCCTCAAATTACCTGCAAACAAAATTTTTAACTTAATTTCATCACTGAAAATTATTTTCTATTAACATCACTAAAAAATAATTTTCAATTAATTTTATTAACACTAAAATTATTTCAATAATATTAATAATAATAATAATTATAATAATAAAATTGATTTATTATTTGCATTTTGTAGAAACCTTTTCTTTTAGATTATTTTATAACAAAATGATAAATAAACCAAGTATCAGTAATTAGTTCCTTTTTATAATAAAATAAAATTGATTGTTAAAATTAATAAATTATTACCTGGAATTGAAAAAAACAGGAAGCCGCAAAAACGACAGGACGTCCCTATGGAGCCCTTGCATTGACATACGCTTATGGTTATCCTCACACAGCACCAATTGGTCTTGACGGAAACGTAGTTGACACCCCCGAGGTCGCCATCGCCAAAGCCGCACATTTTGCTGCACACGCAGAAGCTGCCAAAAGTCAATGAGAAATATTCTCCCGCAATAATCTAGACCTTTAAAAAAATAGCCCGATCGACTGAAACTAATTTCTTCTTGAATTTCTTTTCAACAGTAAATTTTTGACAAAGCGAGACAATTCTCTCCGACAATAGTTTTTAAAGAGAAAAATTCCCAAACGAGAATTTCAATTTTTATCGAAACAAAGTTCCTGTAAGAATTAAATATCAAATTTAGATGAATGGTTTTTTCTGAATAAAAAAAAAAACATCTTTTGTACAAATTCAATGTAATCACATTTTTTATATATGAAAAAGAATATAAAACATTTAGTATCATTTAAACTGTGTCGTAATTGAAAATTACGGCTGTAATGACAATGCCATAATAATGTATAATGTGTGTTTTTTTTTACAGTAATGATAAATAAATGATTATTACATTAAATAACTAATTTACGATTTGTTTATGTCCCATTTTTTTGCTAGATTTTTTTCCTCCCTTTTTTTCTCTTTCATGAAAAATTTTTAGATTTTACCGATTTTTAGTGCCTTCCTTGCCATTTGTAATGCTCCGTCTCTTGTTTTGTTGCCACCAATAAAACGAGCGGCGTGAACGAAAATTCCACCTTCAATTCCAGACACTTTAGAGAGTTCCTCGTCCCTTAAACCGGCCCATTCTTCCGGCAGGAAAATTCTGTAAATAACAAATAATATGTTAGTAAACCGAAGACATCGCAGTCTAATAATTTTATCGACCAATATTCAAATAATAATTTGAATATTGAAATAGAAAAAATGAATAAAAGAATTAAAAATTATTGAAATTATTAATCGATTGAAATTAATAGAAAAAATTAATAAAAGAATTAAAAATGATTCAAATTTTCATTCAACAAAAATTAATAACAAATAAAATTTTAATTATCTCTCAACGGAAATTAATAGAAAAAATAATGAATGAATAAAGAAATTAAAAATGGTAAATTAATTATAAGCTTGAGTCATCAAATTTTGTAGCCTATCTGTAAACTCTTTTTTTCAAAAAAGAAAAGAAAAGATTTTTAAATTCGGAATTTGTAAATATTTTATATAATTGTCATTGACCTGCACACAAAACTTCCCATCTCGAGAGGAACCGCTTGAATTCTATACGAATTATCTTGAAAAATAACATATTTTATAATTGGATCGATTTTTAATTCCTTTTCTAAAGCAAACATGTGCTCCGTCCAAGGGCAAGGTTGCTTTAATTCCATAATCTCTCCACTAGGATCCACCTGAAAATTTCCAAGAGAATTCAAATTAACAATTAAAGATAAATTTTCCAAAAATGAAAAACCGGCTGCACAAACTATTTTCAAATAAAAAAAAAACTAATACAATTTTTCCAACCAGTGAATAACTTTGTTCAAAACTAAATACACAAGCAACAACTGAATAATAAATGAATTAAATTAAAATTTTTGAAAATTTGTGAATATAGATGGAGAAGTGAATGAATAAAACAATTGAATAAAATAAGTAACAAAGGAAACAAAATATAAAAATCATAATAAAAAATAAAACTCAACAAAAAAAATAAAACTAAACTTAAATTTAAACTAAAAATAAACTAAAAAAATCCCAATAAAAGAAGGAATTTTTTAAATTATTTTACTGTTTAAAAAAATAATTTAATTGTTTCGAAGGATTTATTAAAATTTAAGAAAATAATTGAATTCCCTCATTGAATTTTATTAGAATTGTATTAAAAATAATTGAATTTTTGCAAAAAATTTTACTATTTATCAAAATAATTGATTTGTTTCGAAGAATTTATTAAAATTTTAGAAAATAATTAACAAGAATAATTAATTAGTAAATTAGTTAATAATTAAAAACTTTTGCTAGTGATTAATAATAAACAATGATTAATAATAACGATAATAATAAATAAAGGTCAATATTCAATAAACGTGTGAATATACCTAGATACAATTGCATTTGTAAATTAGTCAAACAAAAGGTGTAATGCAAATGTACGACCTCAATAACTAGGTACAAAGTAATAATTGAATTTGAGTGACGCCCAAGTTGTAATTTTTTTCTTCACGGCTGACAATAGAATAATGGTAGCTTTTACATTCTCTGCATCACTTCTATTTCATTTCACACATGCGAAATAAATGTCTCATTCAATTATTTAGATAATCACTAATCATCTTAATTACCTTACACATATTTTCTTCCTTTTCAAGTTCCCATCAAAAAAATTTCCTTTTTCAATTTTCATCGAAAGTTTATAGTCACTTTAGAATAACATGAGCATTAAATTAAATTATTACATTAAATACAGATAATGCAAATTATAATAATTCGCATTATTGCAAATAATAAAAAATCAAACAAAAATTCAATGAATGTTAAATTAAAAATCCTTTGTGAACGGAATTATGTATATTAATATTAATGAATATAAAAAAATAAATTAATTTTAACTGGAGAAAAATTAAATTACAAAGTCTTTATGAACTGAAGTAGATATTAATATTAATAAAAAGAGTAAATTAATAAAATTATAAAAAATAAAACAAAAAATCAATATTCACTGGGGAAAAAATTACAAACCCTTTATGAACAAAATTACATTAATAATAAATTTAATTAATAAAATAACGCCAATTGTTAAATTATTTAATAGTAAAGTCAAAAAATTGTAAAAGTAATAAAAATAAAATGTATTAAATCAAAAAATACCTCGAATCGATTTAGAAGAGCTTCTTTAACGAGATTCTTCGCCGGTAACCAAACTTGAGCAGCGTAAGTGATAAATTCGTTAAATTCCTCACCAACCAAAGCCATTGCTTTGCGAAATTGCTCCTCGACATCCATATTCTTTTTATTCCACGGAGGATTCAAACCCTTTACTCTTGCGCCCAAATGCGTGTGAATTCGGTAGCTATAAAAATATTATTTTTAAATTTATGAAAAATATTTAAATACCTACTTCAAATACAAAGTTTAAAATTTCACCCTGGCCTTTTATTAGTCAATCTTAAATAAAAATTACTAATGAAAACAATTTTTATTAAAAATTAAATAAACGTGTAGAAAGTATAGAAATTAAAATTAAATAAACACGTAGAAAACTATAGAAATGAAAAATAAATAAAAGCGTAGAAAAATAAAGAAATTATATTAAATATATTATTAAATATATAATATAAATATATTATTACAGTAATTATAGTATTATAATTATTTTATAATTGTAAAATTGAAATTATATGAAAACTCACAGTGGCTCTGCATCGAACATTGGAACTCCATTGTCAAGGGCGTCAATTTCTTGAATTAAAGTGTCGTAGACCTTTTTGAAAATTTCCTCAATATCATTTTCATCGGTAACTTCGGGAATAATTTGCTTTATTATCCTATGTCCGAAATGACAGTAAATCAAACCAGCGCTACTTAATCTTATTGTCCAATTATATCCTTCTTTATTAATCACACTTGACGCTGTTTCGTTGAATTCTCTAAAAAGAAATTCAAACAATTTTTTAAAAAACCAGAAAAACAAAATCTATATTAATATTCGTTGTATACCGGTTATCTATTTGCAGTTTACAGTTAATTATTGTTTGCTTTTTTGTTTCTTAACTTTTTAAATTATTTTTCTTCGTAAATATTTTCAATATTAAAATTAATGTATTATTGAAAATTATTCAATTCTTGCAAAGCGTTTATAAAAAAATTTGAAAATAATTGAATTCATTTCAAGAATCATTTGTCAGTAAGAAAATAAACAAGAAATATAGTAAAATTATAATGTTAAATAGTCTTATTAGTAAATTTATAGTATTAATTAAAGCATTCTTAGTAAATTTATAGTATTAATTAAGGAATTATTAATAAAATTTAAATTCTAAAATTATAGTCGTAATAAATTATACCTCATATGATGATCATAACGATGTTTGGTAGGATCGTATTCTCCTCCCACATCAACTACAATATCGCATGTTTTCAATACATCCGGATCTCGTGATCTGAAAATATAAATTATTTTCAGACTATTTAATTCGCATTAAATTAGAATTAAATTAAAGGAATTAAAGCAATTGAAGTTCCGGTCGTTCCGGCATCAATTTTTAGGTTAGGAATGTAAAAAAATAAAAAATCCATTCAGTATTCCGACAAAAAATCAAATAATATAAAAAATGAACTTCTCAGTTATTAAACTGAGGACAATTATTAAAAAATTACACTCATTTTTACCTAATAATCGAGGCATTTTTGTATTCCGGTAATGTTTTCAGCATGTAGCAGGCCAAAACTTCGTCGCAATGAAATACACCATTATGAGTTCCAATTTTAATTTCTGCCGGCATTTTCGATAATCGTCTTACAATCAAATTATTAACAACGTTTCGTCTGACAGAAATAAAAGAATTATGTTTTATTATTATTTTGAGAAAATTCGACCACGTTGTTAACATTACCCGTCACCAATATATCTCATCGGAAAGAACTTTTTTTCCTTTTATTACATATATATGCTTGAAAATAAATTAAAGAACTGTGTAATTTTCTCCAAAAGTATGCTCACCAATAGGTCCAATAGTTTTAATTACAATTAATTGATAAAAAAATATCGAACTGTTTAAACTGTCTAAACACCGCAGAACTTAGAATTGAAGGTTATGTTCGTCAAGTGAGTCACGTGACCCGCAACTACACTGTAAAAAAATCTGCTGTAAATTTACTATGTCCGACGTTGGAAAGTTTGGTCACTATGTCCGACGTGGTATTTTTACACGCCGACTGTAATCTACATAACCTGCAAATATTTTTTGAAATAATATTTTCAGTCGTAACTTTTTGTATTTATGAAATATAGCCCAAAACTTTTTGTTATATTATTATTTACTTATAAATTAGCATATACTTTCTATAAATGTACATTATATACACTTTTTTAGAGTTATTTATAAAAACTTGAAAATTTTTTGAAAATCTTAAAGGAATAAGAAAATTACATTCGCCATGTAATTGTACAGATCGTGCGACGTAATATTACGTCAAAGTGTAGAAATACACGCAATGTAAAAATACCACGTCGGACATAGTGATCAAATTTTCCTACGTCGGACGTAGTAAATTTACACAAAACTATTAAATTACATAGTCGTATAATGTAAAATTATTAAAAATAGTAAAACTACTTTTGGAACGAAATAAATTTACTACGTACAACCTATAATTTTGATGTGTGAAATTACAAGTTTCGTGTTATTTTACACCAGATTTTTTTACAGTGTATAGGTCACGTGATCATGATCAGCTGATCAAGCAAAAGTGATACGTCAACGTCAGTAAAACAATAATTCCGTTTTTTTTAATAATTTATATTAAAAATAGTGTTTTTTTAATTTTTCTACTCTATACACTTTGTACATAATTAATTCAAGTAAGTCCTGCAATTATTAAACATGTATTTAAATCAATTTTTAATTGATTTATTCATCGTTTTTCCATTTCTAACCTGTAAAATTTATATTTTTTTTCCCCGCACAGTATGAACAGTTCGACAGATCCAAGACGTCCTGAGAAGGAAATTAGATATAAACCCTCGATGGCAAGTTCACAGGCTCAACCAGGAGATGATTTAACGCCAGATTATATGAACATTTTGGGAATGATATTTAGTATGTGCGGTTTAATGATGCGACTAAAATGGTGTGCGTGGGTCGCTCTTTATTGTTCCTGCATTAGTTTTGCTAATTCAAGGGTGAGCGACGATACAAAACAAATTCTTAGTAGTTTTATGTTATCTATTTCTGCTGTTGTAATGTCATACTTACAAAATCCACAACCAATGACTCCGCCTTGGGCCTCTGCTATTCAGTGAGTCAATTCTTTTTTAATAGGAACCTCCAAATTTTGCCTGTAAAAAAAATATTGATCAGAATTTTATATATATACATATATTATTGTAAAATTTACTCTTTCTTAAACTATTTAACTACTATTCATAGAATACGTGGCAATTTAATACCTAAAAGAGTAAACTAAGTCTACTTAAAATATGTTTGACTGAAAGTATTGTTTTTTATTCTGAAAAAAAGAGAGAATTGTGAATGTGAGAATAAAATGCATGGATATTTACATATTTATATGTGTAATAAGAATAAAAACTAATTTTAAAAATCTACTTTTAAACCAAAATTTTTTATTTCGAATTTTTAGGGATGAATTTAATTGTTTTTGAATTCTATACTAAATAATTTTTTTAATACGAACTAAGTTCTTAAAAAATCAGAACACTTTATTTTATTTTGCAAAACTGACAAGTTTTAAACGTTTAAATGAACGAAATATTTTTTATTAAAAATATGTTCATAAATTACTGATTGCAATAAAAATTAAAAACTTAAATTTCACATTTAGAAACTTCATAATTAATTTTTTTTATAATGACGCAAATTTATTGAAATAAAAATTGTAGAAGAAATAAATATGCATTTTAATTAATTTTTATACAATTAGTTTAAATAATTTAATGAAATTTAGATAATTAAAAGAATTAAATAAATGAACGAGAATTATTTCAATTCTTGTAATTTTATTTGCTTACAAATTATTTTTCTAAATTGCAATTATTATAACAGAAAAGCAATTAATTATTCTTTCTATAATTATTGAGAAATATAATCTGTATAGCATTTATAATTTTATTATATTTATAGTATTTTTTATTTCATTTATTTTATTTATTACTTTTTCTAACTTACATCTCTTGTGACTACATTCAAAATTTAAATAACTATTTCGCATCTAAGAAGAAACATTTCTGACAAGTGATTTTTCAAAAAAGAAATTTACAATCTTTTATTCTATAATCTATTTAATATTGTATAAATATCTATTTTTAAAGAGTTTTTATGTTTTATAATATTGAAAAAACAATCTCAGAAATATTTCATCGAGGTAGAATTTTTATACAATTTTTATATTCTATTAATACAATAATTTCTCTTTTTTATTTTAATTGTAAAAAAAAGCCTACTATTCAGATTTACAAAATATTTTTTTTTATTTATCGAAAACGTGAACAATGCAAAAATTTATAGAATTGTGATTTTTGGTTTTCTTTTTATTTTCACGGGGAAATTAATTTTAATAGTAGGTAATAATTTATTTAGTTACTATTTTTTTAATAATAAAATTTTTATGGTGAAATTAATTTAATAATTTGTTTAATACTATTTTTTTTATAGTAGAAATTTATCGTTCTATGAAAAAATTAGAATATGGACACTTTTGACTTAATCTTTATGTATTTCTTACATCGTTTTATAAACTATTTTCGATCTACTTAAATATTAGCTTACATTGCATTTTTTACATTTAATTTAATGACACAATTTACAAGATTAATTATACGTTATTATTTAGAAAATTTTTTTCTAACGAAACTAGATTTACATCGAAAATTTACATTTTTGGAAGTATTTGCAGTCTTTTGATAAAAGAAAATTCATCATCACAATTTTTTTTAAAAGTGAAAGCATAATTAAATATGAGATCTGAAATATTTAGAGAGGACTTTATATTAATTAATTAAATTAAACTAATATTAATTAGACTTTATATTAATTAATTAAATTTAATTAATATGAATTAAAGACTTTATATCATAATTAAAGATTTTATATTAATATAATTAATATATTTAATATAATTAATTATAATTCTATTTTATTAATATGACAAAATTTAAATTTACCGAATATTTTTTTAATGAAGAAAAAAAAATTTTATGTTTTATTTCGATGTTTAATTTTCAAATAATATTTCAAAAGGGAAAACGGTAAACAAATTTTTAACTTCTTTTATTTCGAAACGTTATTTTTTTTATTTTTTACGTTTTTCTTTTTTTATTTACGATTTGTAAAGTATAATTTAAAAATGCAAATATTGCGAGAAAAAAACCAAAGTTACTGCAGATATTTGAATTAATTTTTTTTTGTGGTTATGAATATTGACTAGATAATTGTAAATGGAAAAATGTCGAGTTTTCCTTCCTTCAAACTTGGACTTGCTCCAATTTTTTTCTGTCGAATTTCAAATTAATTTTCAATTACATTTTCAATTTAATTTTAATATTTAATTTTTGTTTTCGCTAAAAAATTTTTAGCAATAACTGTTTTTTTTCCACTTTTTCTTAGGTACAAATTTAGAATTTTATGGACAATTTTTTTTTCTTGCTAAGGGAGAGAAACGAAATCTGGAGATATTTTTTTTCTAAATTCCCATGGTCCCGTATTTTTTTTAATCGTTTTTGCTTAATTATAATTATTTTTTAAACGCTACTTTCACCTCGTCCAACTAGAGTGATTGGATATACGTATTTTTTTCTCTTTGCGTTGAAAAATGGAGAATTGTACTGAGTCGCAGAAGGAGTTGGTGATAAACCGCGCAAAAGAGGTAGTGATGCATTACAGCTAATTGCTCCAGAATCCAGTTTTCTTTTCCATTCTGCGCCTAAATCAGTTGCCGGAGCCATTAGACCTTTACAATCAGGGGAAGTTCTCACGCTGAGGAAGACTTCGTTACTATCCGCTTGTCTCGCAGTTGTCGTCGGCGTCGTTGTCGTCGTCGTTGACGTCATTATCGTCGGTTCCTGAAATTGAAAACAATTTCTATTAGAGAGAAAATTCAAGCTAAGAAAATGGATTGTCTCTTCTGTTCACAGGTGTAAGTATTATTTTCTATTTTCTCTCCAAAAAAATGGGAAAAAAATATTTAATTTGGAAAAATTCTATTAATTTCTTTATTATATTCTTTATACTTTTTTTATATTTTTGTATACCTTTTTTATATTTTTTATACCATTTTTTTATTTGAAATGTTTGAATATGTTACCTTTTGTTTTTAGGGTGCGAACGTGTTTGTTTTTACCTTCGTTCCGAAATAGTCAACGCCAGAGAGACAGTTTTCATTCCCTTCGGCAAAATCGATTTGCACACGATGGGAAATTTGAGAATTTCCTGAAGAATGCGAGGATGTGTGGGTTGAAGAATTTTCCGAAAGATCGTCCCTGCAACAGGCGGCAGTACATACCCGAAGTTCCCTAAAATTCCAAAGAAAATTAGTGTTTATTAATTTTTCGATTTGCGATATTATGAATTCTATTCTCTTTTTTTAATTTTAATACTTTAAAAATACGATTTGTAAATTTTCGAAAATCGCAAAAACCGAAATTGTTTATTAATGCAAAAAAAAAGTTTACTGACAATTTCGATAAAATTAATTTAACTTTTGAATTCGATTAAAAATAAATTAAAAATATTTAAAGAAACTAAAGTATAATAATAAAACTCATTGCAGGATTTTAATTATTTTTAATACAATTTTAATCAAATTCCTTGAAAAATGTGATTATTTTTGAAAATTTTATTAAAATTCGTCAAAAGTTTTCAATTATTTAGAAATTTGTTAATAAAATTCCTTATGAGAATTCAATTTTAACAAAAATTTAATTATTTAATAAATTATTTGTTTTTGAATTAGAAATAATAATTTAAATGCTCTTTTTCCAGATAATATTCAAAAATGAAGGGAGAAATTTTTACCTTCTCGCTATCACAGAATCGCCCCTCCTTGGCACTGGAGGTGGAAGTCCAGCTTCCAAACTTTTAGGACTCTCGTAACTCGCCTCACTGTTACCGCTGCTGCTATTGCTTCCCATTGTTTCCTCACGAAGAAAATAATTTTTTGCCGAGAGCATTGCAAAATGAAGATTATTTTTGAGATCGTCAGCAGCAGTTGATAAATTGCCGGAAATTTTCGGAGTTCGTCTCATTGGTCTCGGGGGTGGAATTGGCGATGGTGGATAACTTGATGCCTCAGAGAGAGTTTCCGGTGTCGCTAAAGGAGCCATTCGAGGTAAATTGTCCCAGTCTCCCAGTCGATTTGACCTTATTAAAAGAAGGACAAAACAAAATGAAAAAAAGGAAATTTATCATCCAATTTTCTTTTTTTTCAGTAACATTCGTTATTTCGTGGCAATTAAAAAAAACAAAAGAAAAGAGTAAATAAATATTTGTTTATTATTTTGTAATTTAGAACTTTTTATTACAAAATAAATAAATAAAATGATATTAAATATATTAATTATTGAATAAATATTAAATATAAAAAATAACACTGAATATTAAAAGTTGTTTCAGAATAACGAATGTTACTAAAAGTTAATAATAATCGAAAGAAAGTAATAAAATTTTTGTGAAATATTAAATGTTTTCTTATATTCTACAAAAAATAAAGCGTGAGGTGAGAATTTTTTATTTAAATGTGTCTTGAGTGATGAGTGAGAAAATAAGTCTAAATTCTGTACCTGTTGTGATAAAAGTTGAGAGACTGTCGGAGTTAATGATGTTTCATAAAATACAACAACTATTTATTTGCCTTTTTTTTGTACTAAACAAAAAATCTAGAATTCGACTAAATTGTTATTATTCCAGAAAATAGAAACTACAAACTTTTAATTTTTTTAAATTTACTCCTTTTTTCTAGAAATTTTAATAAAATGTATATTAATATTTCAAGTAAAGTTTAAATAAATAAAATTTCGATTACAATATTTACACTGACTGTTTCAGGCATGGAAAATTTAATTCAACAATCTTGAGAACACTGAGAGTAAAAAAGGGGTGTTTTTTTGGAATCAGAGTGCGATAGAAATTGTGGATCGATTCAACAAATTGTCAAGAATTAAAATTTATCTGACAGGGATAATTTTCTATTAGTCACACCAAAATCTATGAACAATGTTTACCTGGAGTTCTAATCGTTGCAACACATCTATAAACATTAATTTACAAACTCTCAAGACAATCAGTATTCATGGTAATATTTACAAAGTCCTAAAATAAATTTATGTTGTATTTTCTGTATATTAAAATTTCAAGTCGTGAAAAAGTTTTAATTTATTAGTTAGCAAATTAGAAATATTCTAATATTCATTAGAAAATATAAAAAATATAATATTTATTTATTATTTATTATTTATAAAAATATAAAATATTTCAAGTGAAATATTTTTGAAAGTAGAAAAAATCTATAGATTCGAAAAATAAATTTATAAAACAGAATTGATAAAAATGAAATCATAAAAATAAATTTATAAGATAATAAGATAGTAAATTGCTAAAAATGGCTTTTTGAATTTTTTTTCCTCAATTTTTTTAATTTGTTTAACACGACTTGAAATTTTTGTTTCTCTTTCGACAAATTCAGAGACTTGTATTCTTACAGTTTGCTCTCGTTGGGCCTGGGCGTGTGCAAAAGTTCACTGGCCAAGCTAATAAATTCCCAAGGAAGACCCGTGGAATCGAGGCTGAGTTCACGACCTGCTTGAGGGAATTCGTTGGGACTCTGGAGTGATGTAAAGCTCGTTTCCAGGCAGAGTTTGTGGGGCGGTGTCCCGGCAGTCAATGGACACTTGACGGGACTCGATGTCGAAAGTAAAGCTCGCATTTCTTGTTCAATCTCAATTTCCTGGATATCTAGGGCTTCTCGTGCATTCAAAACATCGACCGACGAGGATTGACGTTTAGGTTTCGCTCCTCTCCTTCCCGTTACAACCTAATCCACGCAGTTGAATAAAAAAAAAAACTTTCTTTGTGCCCAAAAGTATGTAAAGAAATTTTCCACATACAAGCAAAATATATTTCAATTCCTCTCTCAACAAAAAATTACATCCAAAGGATTATTCTATTCTTGAGAAGAAAAAAAACACGTCAAACTCTGGTAAGAATTCGAAAAATTCGCCTTAGAAATTTATACATGAGAGATAAATTTGAATAAACTGGAAAATTTAAACTTCTTAAACTAAAATTTAAATTTCTATCAAAACTTTTGCACTCGATGAATTTTCTTGTTGAGTAGATAACTTTTTCCTATAAATGAATAATTTCGGACTCTTACATTTTTTCAGAGTATGTACAATATTTAAAAGGATAGTTTGTTTCTAAAATTTTCTCATAATACCTGATTTTTCTTCGTAAGGAAGAGAAGAGAGAGAGAGAGAGAGAGAGAATTCTATTTTTAAGTTTATTAGTCCTTAATGTTCCGAAACTTAATTAAAAAATTGAATAGCGTAATTTTGCTCAAAAATTTTAAAGATAAAGCTACTATTTAAGGGGACACGATAACAATTTACAAGATGCCTTTATCATGCTTTACAAAAATACGATCGAAAAACTCTTCGAATGCAAATTTTTAATTCCCATGCAAATTATAATTGTTTCCGAATATTTATTCTTCAAACAATGACAAAATTTATAGATTAAATTAAAATTTTTATATTTAATTTATTTATTATTCTATGTAATTTAATTCAGGTTCACAAATACTTAATTTCGCTCAACAAAAGTAAAAACTAAAGTTTCGATGAACAGACTTTTTTTCAATTTTGATTTGAAATAATAAAAAGGAAATTTTGTTTTACATAAATTGAATTGAAATTGAAAAATTCTAAATTGAGCAGAAACAATAATTTTTTAAGGGAAAAAATTCGTAAAAGTTTGAAAATTTGAAAGAATTTTGAACTTTTCGATAATTAAATAATTTTTCCAATTAACACCCGAAAACTATTTCCATTTCTTCAAATTAAAATCAAATCAAAATTGAAAGAAAATAATTTCTCCATCTTAGGGTCTACGACTTACCTTATAATGGCTATTTGGAAAACTTTCTAGTAGCAGCAAATTAAAATTAAATACTCACAAGTACATTGGGTAAATAAATTGTTTATACCAAAACTCTCGCATGCTTTATAACTAAAATCAAAAATTATTATCTACATTTCAATATCAACCACATAAATCGTAAACAAAAATATTGTTCAATTATTATTGATATTAATAGTAATTATAAATAATTAATTATTATTAGTATTATTATTAATATTATTATTAATATTGTTATTAATATTATTATTAATATTGTTATTAATATTACTATTAATATTAATTATTATTAATTATTAAATTTTTAAATTCTTTTTTTAGTTCAGAGTTAATTATAAAAATAGATTATATAAAATTGAGGAGAAGGAGTATAAAGGCGGAAGTATAAGTATAGAAAAATATTTGAAACATCAATTTTAGAGAAAGAAAATTGTATTGAAAAAATTATACGTATCTTAATAAGTTTCAAATATGAAACTTTTCACGTGTTCTCGCACAGTCCTTAAGTGTCACTTGAATTGGAAGTTTACTAAGATAATTATTTCTTCTAGCGTGCGTTCTTAAAATAAGATTACATGTCATGAAGTGCTGCGTTTGATTGAAAAATACCTAGTGATTTTTGAAATGTGAGGTGACGAATAATAAATTTAGTAAAAAAATGAAATTAATTTTGATAAGAAAAAAGAGAAAAAAAAATCACCAGCAACGTCACTGTGAAAAAATAATAAATTCTAACTGGGAATTTCACTGAAAAAAAATATTATTTTTCATTATAAAATTACTAATTTTTATTTATTTTTGCCAATAATAAAAATTATTTTTGCCATAAAATAAAATTACTGATTAAAATTATTTTCACCATAAAATTACTAATTAAAATTAATAATACGAATTTGTTGGTAAAAATAAAGACAAATTTATTTTTATAAAATTATTAAGACGAATTCCAAAAATACTTTTAAATATTTTCTAATTTTTTAAATCTTGGGATTATTTTTTTCTCTCCTTTCGTTTTAATTCTTTTTTATTTCCCTCATTTCTTTCTAGTGGAAGGAAAGAATATTCATCTTTGAATTTATAATTCCATAATTTCTATTCAATTCTGTTTTTTTTTCTTGTAATTTTTTTTTAAATTGAAATTTTTTCGATTTGCAATTTTTCTAAAATGAAAAAATTTTTTCAGAGTGACTTTACTGGCGGACTATGATTCCTAATCAAAGTACCTTGTTTCGAGGGAGGAAGAGGAGGGTGTGGTGACATGAACATCGGCATTAAGATCTCGAGGTGTTGACGTTCGTAGATGAGAGACGTCTGTGAATGCAATTCTAGCCGCTGCAGTCTTCTTGTCTTTCAGCGTGTTGTACTTGCTTTGGCAGTACTGATACTATAAAATTTCAACGGTATAGAGAGACGACTTTGTCATTTGATTTCGATAAGCTCGAGGAGGAAGCCATAAATGAAGATAAAAAGAAATACCTCTATACATATATATATAGAAAAGAAGATGTAAAGAAAACATAAAAACAGATGATGTAGATCAACATAAAAAAATAAAATTGCCAAAAAATGAAAGAAACAGAAAAAAGACAAAAAAATAAAAAAGAGCCAAAAAAAATAAAAAAGAAAAAAGTAAAGTGAAAAAAAGGAGAGAAAAAGATATGAAACTTGGAAATGAAAAAGAAATATGAAACATAAGCTTAAAAAATATGTCAAATAAATAAGTAAAATAAAAAAATAAATAAATAAATTACAAATAAAATTAAAAAATATTTCAAATAAAAATAGAAACCACCAAATTAAGAGATTAAAAATTCAAAGTGTGAACTTTTTTTTGCTCATGAGCATTTTTTTTAATGAAGATGAGAAAAATTAGCCAATTGCAGCACATAGGATTTTGTTTTTGTAAATAAATTCATTCGAAGAAATTTTGAAACTATATTGTTGAGGAATTTTTCGCAGAAACCTAATGCGCACCACACGCCTTCATTTATTAATTATTTTCGCAAATAATTAATAAAAAAAAAATCTAAAAATAATCTGTAATAGATTGAAAAGAAATTATTTACATCAGTACCAAAAGATATATATTATATGATAAATGAAGACATCAAGGAAAGATAAAGTAAATAATTAAAAAATAAAAGAAAAAATTGAGCTGAAAAATAAATACAACCTAATAAAATAAAATTAATTTTTTCTAATTTTGTTTTTAAAATCCTAATACTCTAGAAATCTAGTAAATTATCTAAACGAAAAAAAAGTAAAACATTAGAATATATACACAAATTAAGTGTAAGAAAAAAATTTAAATCAACAGGACAAATTGAGGAAATTATTTCCTCTGTTCATGAATAATTTTCAATTAAATGTCACGTAAATTTTTAAAATACCGTATTTCAGGATTCATTGTCAGTGAATAATTAAAAGAAGAACATTTTGTTTTTATAGAACAAAATGTATATTACAAACATTACATTTTACATTTATATTGACAAATAAATTATTGTAAATTTTCGAATATAAATAGACAAATAAATAATTGTAAATTTTAAAATATAAATTGATAATTAAAAAAAGGAATTAAGATATAGTTAAATAAAAATAAGTAAATTAGGCGAAAAAAAATCTATTACGACGATTACAATTAACTAAAATTATTTCTTTTTGGATTATCAAATAATAAAATGAAGTGATTTACAAAAAAGGAACAACTTGTTTATGTGGTGATATTAATTCAAATAATGACATAAATTGTTTACAATAATAATAATCTCACTCTAACAGACGCAACTTTCTTACTCATGCGACTTTCTTTCATTTTTTATTTTTTTTGTTATCAAATTTCTTTTATCACAACGCATTTATGTATATATCTATAAAATTTACATAATCCTTTTATTAATTAATTTAGTTGATCGATTAAATTTATGATTTTTTTATAAATAATTGACTTTATACATTTTTTCTACTTGTTACTATATTAAATAATAAATATATGGCACAAATATGAGAAGAAAAGAGAAAAATTATTTCGTGAAACAAAAATATTAGATTTTTGGAAAAATATTCCCAGATTTTTCTAAAATTGATTTGCAAACTACTCTCGATTATTTTATTTCTAAACTTTTATTCTTTAAATAAATAAATAAAAAAAGTTTAAAAAAAGGAAATTCTATTAATAAACTGTTGAGAATATGAAGTGTATTGAAATTTAAATTTAAAAAAGGTCAAAGAGGAAACTAATTTTAATTTATATTAAAATAAAAATAATCAAATTAGTAAATTCAATTGTTAATTTTATTTAAAAAGGTAAATTTATTACGAAAGAAGACAAAGTTAAAAATATTTTTTTTAACAAAGAAATAATTATGGGAATATTTTTTCAATATTTGAAAAAATTATTTACTCTTTTTAAAAAAAGTTAATGAATTAATAAAATTAATTAAATTGATTTAATTAAATTAACAAAATTAATTGAATCGATTTAATTAAATTAATAAAATTAATAAAATCGATTTAATTAAATTAACAAAATTAATTGAATCGATTTAATTAAAATTTAAATTAATAAAATTAAATAAAATAAACGCAAATTAAACGTGTCAAGCAATTAATCGAGATTCATAAAAAAAAGACAATGTTTGAACTTAAACAATAAAAAAAGCCTAATTACGAAACAAATCACATTAACTATTCTACTTTTAGTTTCCTTAATTTTCTTCTGAGAATTCATGTCATGCTTCATTTTTCATACAATTACAAAATCATGCACGATTACGTTTTATTTTTACTTTCTTTTTTCCAATTAACCAACAAAACGTCAATTATTAACACATTTTTCCTGAATTACATCGAAAAAAATTAAACTCTCACACTAATCAGGTAAAACGTGTCAATAATTGCAAATAACAACTATCCATCTATCATTTTCCTAAATAAATACCAAACAGCACATTTTCTCACATTTCTTTTTTGAGGTAGTTCAATGGCAAGACTATTTAACACCTATACTTCCTACTTTCTTAAAATTGAAAAATCTCAATTTGAAAATATCTAATTTGTCATGTAAAAAGTCTTATAAATTTAATTTAATCACTTGTGCCAGTCTCTGATAAATTTGTAAAAAAATAATTACTTTTCTCAAGAAATATGTTTTTGAAAATAAAATTTAAAAAAAATAAATTAATTAAAATTAAATATCAAAATAAAGAGTTATTGAAATATTTTTCGTAAATCGAAAAAGATTTTAAACAAAAAGATTTTTTTTCTTTTTTTTGTAAAATTTTGACAGAGACTAACCACAATTGTGAATTATTCTATCTTATTGTTAATAAAATAAAACTAGAAAATTGATATGCATAGTTGCAACTTGAGCTGAAATTGTACGCGTATAAATTTTGTAAATTTGATTAATCGAGCATTATACAGTTTTCTTTTTTTTTCAAAAATTAAAAATCAATTATTTAATTTATCTCTATTGATCACAGTAAATTAATTAAGTGAAGTGCTCATCTAGTTTCATTTAATTAAAATAATGTAATTAATTAAGACACATTGAGTAACTGAGAAACTAATTAATAAATAATTTAATTCAAAATTAATTAAAATTAATTTTTACAATTAATAACTTAATTGAATTGTAAAATTAATTATTAATTTTTTCTTTTAATAATTATGTTCAGTTATTATTAATTTCTTACAATTAATAATTATAGTAAGTAATTATTAATTTTATTAATTATTAATTATTAATTGTATAAATTACTTATTAATTTTATAAATTACTTATTAATTTTATAAACTTGTTAATAATTTTATTAATCAAGAGAATCAATGTAAAATCAAGAACTATTAGAATTATTTTGAGTCTCTTTTCTCTCATGTATTTCAACGTCCACGACAATCAAAGATGTTCTTGCATTTGAATCATCTTTGCTGTCTGTAGATTGATCCTCGATCGACTCCTCATACCTATCGATAGTCAGAAAATTTTTATTTTCATTGTTTTCTTCTCGCTTTAATTCAGGAGAGTCAATTGTATCATCCAATGTCTCGTAATGTCCTACTTTTAACGAGGCATTTCGACTAGCCGAAATTTTCAATTTGTTTGTCTCATTTCGAGGCACTCTTACCTTACGTAGTGCCTTCAGCATATTGTCAGGCATATGGTCTTGAATCATCACCGGACTAATGAGCACTTCGTCAAAGTCACAGGGTTCCGCCCAAAGAGCCATATATTCCGGTTCGTGCTTCCTCAACACTTTCCTGAAATTCAAAAATCAATTAATACTCCAAAGAAAAAAACAATTTTTCTCCAAAGAAAAGTAACTTAAAAATTAAAAGTGAAGAAATTAAATCTAAATCGGGGAAATTTAATTTAAATTGTAATAAAACTAGAAAGGAAATTTAATTTAAATTAAAACAAAATTAGAATTAAAATTAATTAAATGTAAGAAAAGAAATTTAAATTAAAAATAAAGATTTAAATTAAAAGCAAACAAAATTTAATTGATGTTTAAAAATAAAATTTAAATAATTATTTTAACTTGAAGGAGAATTTAAATTTAATTAAATTGTATTCAAGGTAAATTTCAAATTAAACATTTAAATCATATTGAAGTAAATTTAAATTAAATTCAAATTACATTGAAGTTAAATTAAATTTTAATTAAATTTAAATAAAAGAAGCAAAAAGAACTAAATCAAAAATACGTTTTTTTTTAACGAAAAAAATGAAATAAAACAATTAAAAACGAGAACTGAAATATAAAAATCACAGCAGTTTTCTTCTATTTAAATCACAAAAATATATTTTAAATGCATGCACAATTCCATATCCTGCATGCTCACATATTTTCATATTAAAAAAATAAAAACCGAGAATTCATTTGGAAATTGGATACATTTCAAAATAATGGAAAACTAACAATAATTGTAGCAACCCATATAAAAATTATTGTGTAAACATGGAAAAATTCCTTTAAAAATAATTTCAAATTTAAACGAATTATTTTGATAAATAAAAATTATTATGAATTAGAATTATTTTGATGTGTACAATAATATTAAAATAAATATAATAATGAAATTAATAAAAAAAAAGGAATTATTACCCCGCGGTCATTATTGTGACAGTGGAAAAATATGCAAATAAATAATAAAATTAAAAAGCAAAAGTAAATAATAATGAATTAAATAAATGATAGAAAAACTCCATAAAAAATTTGTAATATTGAATAAAAATGAAATGAAAAAATTTTCACGCAGAGTTGAGAAATAAATCATAACAAAATATCAAAAGTAAAAAAAAATACAAAATAATTCTTTTTTGATATTAATTTCCATGCTTTTAATCGAGCCCACGAATAATAATCATTTAAACGTTCCATTAACGTACCTCCAACGTGATTGATTTATTTGCCTATGAATAAAAAAAAAAATTGATAAGTTAATTTATTTTTATGTTTTTTTTGTATTTTGAAAAGAGGGGAAATCTCTTGTTAATTTTTTATTGTTTCGTTACAATAGCTAGGCATTGTAATATTTATTTTCTTCTCTTTTTTATTTTTACTCACTCGTTTTTATTGGGATGCCTTCGTACGACGTGGATGATTCTCCCCGGTGGATAAAGTGGTCGATGAAGCGTTAATGCTACGCTGGAGTCACCAGAGACTACTGTTTGCGATCTCGCCATATCCTTATCTCTTTGATATTCGCTGATACATCCGCCTGCTTCTAAATTAGCCGCTGATGTTGGAATCGAACCGCATCCGCAACACATCACAGAACACGTTATCGTCTTCCACTGTAACGTCAAAATTACCATTTTAAAAAGTGCTTCTTTATTATATAAAAATTATACTATAACTAGCCAAACTATCCGCGCGCAAGCGCGCGGGAATGTTGTATGGGGCTGCTTATTTTAAACAATTAAAAAAATTTTAAAGAAATAATTATTATAACCTAACAAAGAGATTTAACTAACTAAAATTCAAATAATTTCACTCAATGGTCTCAATTTAAATAGAATTTACATTACTAGACTTAAACTATGGCTAGAACAATTACAATTAGTATCTGGGTCATCTTTTGCATTGCTTATTTTATAAAGCCATTTTAAATTAAATACCTTTCAAAGAAATAATAATTATTACACACTGAAAAAAGTTTTACTTCAAATAGCGATAAGTTTCTCTAGAATAACGAAAGTATTAATTGAAGCACTGAATAATTTCGCTACTAAAGTGAAATCTGTAGTTCATCCAGCTAAATATTTTTTGCCGTGCATAACGAAAAAAGAATTAAATTAACATCAGATTTTCTACATTCAAAAAAACGAATTCAAATAGAAATTAATCATTTTACAACTTAACCAAATTCACCTCAGAAATCACTGAATTCGATAATTTAGAAGAAAGTCAGACAAAAGCAGGGTTCCTACAGAATCTGGAAATCATGGAAATCATGGAAATAGTATGGAATTTTTAAAAGGCTTCTGGAAATCAGGGAAATCATGGAAAAGGCCTGTAATTTTTAAAAAATTCTAAATTTTTTCAGTTTTCCATTTTTTCTCTTGAATAAAAATTCAAATAATAATAAAGCTAAATGGTATAAAAGAGAAAAAAAAATGTTAAATTTTAAGAAATTCAATTTTTCAAATTTTTGATAATTTTTTATTTTTTTTCAAAGAGTCGAGACAATTTAATAAGTAAAGTATTTTCCAAAAGCACAAAAATAATGAAGCTAAATCCCATAAAATAGAAGAAAAAATGTTGAATTTTAAGAAAAACGGATTTTTGAAATTTTTCGAATTTTTGATAATTTTAGAATTTTTACCAAAGAGTCGAGACAATTTAATAAGTAAAGTATTTTCCAAAAGCACAAAAATAATGAAGCTAAATCCCGTAAAAGAGAAGAAAAAATGTTGAATTTTAAGAAAATCGGATTTTTGAATTTTTGATAATTTTCGATAATTTTAGATTTGTTACCAAAGAGTCGAGACAATTTAATAAGTAAATTATTTTCCAAAAGCACAAAAATAATGAAGCTAAATCCCATAAAAAAGAAGAAAAAATGTTGAATTTTAAGAAAAACGGATTTTTGAAATTTTTCGAATTTTTGATAATTTTAGAATTTTTACCAAAGAGTCGAGACTATTAAATATATAAAGTATTTTCCAAAAGCACAAAAATAATGAAGCTAAATCCCATAAAAGAGAAGAAAAAATGTTGAATTTTAAGAAAATAGGATTTTTGAATTTTTTCGAATTTTTGATAATTTTAGATTTTTTACCAAAGAGTCGAGACAATTTAATAAGTAAAGTATTTTCCAAAAGCACAAAAATAATGAAGCTAAATTCTATAAAAGAGAGGAAAGAATGTTAAATTTTAAGAAATTCGGATTTTTGAAATTTTTCGAATTTTTGATAATTTTAGATTTTTTACTAAAGAGTCGAGACAATTTAATAAGTAAAGTATTTTCCAAAAGCACAAAAATAATGAAGCTAATTCCCATAAAAGAGAGGAAAAAATGTTGAATTTTAAGAAAATCGGATTTTTGAATTTTTTCGAATTTTTGATAATTTTAGATTTTTTACCAAAGAGTCGAGACAGTTTAATAAGTAAAGTATTTTCCAAAAGCACAAAAATAATGAAGCTAAATCCCGTAAAAGAGAAGAAAAAATGTTGAATTTTAAGAAAATCGGATTTTTGAATTTTTGATAATTTTCGATAATTTTAGATTTGTTACCAAAGAGTCGAGACAATTTAATAAGTAAATTATTTTCCAAAAGCACAAAAATAATGAAGCTAAATCCCATAAAAAAGAAGAAAAAATGTTGAATTTTAAGAAAAACGGATTTTTGAAATTTTTCGAATTTTTGATAATTTTAGAATTTTTACCAAAGAGTCGAGACTATTAAATATATAAAGTATTTTCCAAAAGCACAAAAATAATGAAGCTAAATCCTATAAAAGAGAGGAAAAAATGTTGAATTTTAAGAAAATCGGATTTTTGAATTTTTTCGAATTTTTGATAATTTTAGATGTTTTACCAAAGAGTCGAGACAATTTAATAAGTAAAGTATTTTCCAAAAGCACAAAAATAATGAAGCTAAATTCTATAAAAGAGAGGAAAGAATGTTAAATTTTAAGAAATTCGGATTTTTGAATTTTTGATAATTTCCGATAATTTTAGATTTTTTACCAAAGAGTCGAGACAATTTAATAAGTTAAGTATTTTCCACATTAAAAAGTTTGACATTAAAAAATATATAAAAAATGCCAATACTTAACCCACAAAATTAAATTTTTAAAACAAACAAATGAATGCAGATAATTTGCTAACGGAAAGGAAACTTACGATTATTATAATGTATGTATATGTATATGTATATTTCTATTTTCTATCAAAACGTATAAAAAACAAAAGAATAACTATAACTAACTTCAAGTGTGGACAGAGATCCGGAAATCTGGAATCACGACGATTATTATATATAATTATAATAGTATTTTAATTATAACAATAAAAATAATTCCCCTTGAATTTTTACAATAACTCGATTTTTTGAGGAGAGTAATTAGAAAATATTTAAACTCTTTGAAAAATTGCAAAAAAAAAAACTGATTTATGACGAATTGTGAAAAATTTGCGCAGCGCATCATTAATGTTAATCAAGAAAGCTAGGGGGGGGAATAGAAATTAAATAATCAACCCCAGTCTTATACGCTTCCTTTTCAATCAAGCAAAGGAAGTCATCGGAAAATATATAGCCACCTTGGGATCCACGCTTCTCTTGATAGCGTTGATGAGGTCCGCCCTCAGGCTCTCCATTTGTCTCAATCCTATCCTTGGTATAACGTCTTTTCCTACAACTACGGACGTAATGAACTCCTGTGAGTATTGTTGGGCAGGCGTACTTAAAAGACCACCCGGCGGTGCAAACGAAAAACACACCAAGTCCGGATACTCTTGTCGAAGTAAAATTGCTAATATTGCCGCTGTTCCCGCTCCCAATGAATGTCCGACTAAAACCAGTCCAAACTGACGAGAGCCTTGCTCTGGATCCTTTATTTGAGAAAGGAAAAAAGAAAAGTCAATTTAGTAAAGAAAAGACACTTTGAAAACTTAATAAATTATATTTTTGTAAATTTATATTAATAAAATCAGACTCAGAATCAGTTTTTTTGAATTTTTGATAATTTTAGATTTTTAATCAAAGGGTTGAGATAAAAAATTGAATAAGGTATTTTTTAAGAGCACAAAAATAATGAAACTAAATTCTATAAAAAAGAAGAAAAAATGTTGAATTTTAAGAAATTCGGTTTTTTGAATTTATGATAATTTTTGATAATTTTAGATTTTTAATCAAAGGGTTGAGATAAAAAATTGGGTAAAGTATTTTTTAAGAGCACAAAAATAATAAAGCTAAATGCTATAAAAAAGAAGGAAAAATGTTGAATTTTAAGAAATTCGGTTTTTTGAATTTATGATAATTTTTGATAATTTTAGATTTTTAATCAAAGGGTTGAGATAAAAAATTGGATAAAGTATTTTTTAAGAGCACAAAAATAATGAAGCTAAATTCTATAAAAAAGAAGAAAAAATGTTGAATTTTAAGAAATTCGGTTTTTTGAATTTATGATAATTTTTGATAATTTTAGATTTTTAATCAAAGGGTTGAGATAAAAAATTGGGTAAAGTATTTTTTAAGAGCACAAAAATAATGAAGCTAAATTCTATAAAAAAGAAGAAAAAATGTTGAATTTTAAGAAATTCGGTTTTTTGAATTTATGATAATTTTTGATAATTTTAGATTTTTAATCAAAGGGTTGAGATAAAAAATTGGGTAAAGTATTTTTTAAGAACACAGAAATAATAAAGCTAAATGCTATAAAAAAAGAAGAAAAAATGTTGAATTTTAAGAAATTCGTTTTTTCGAATTTTTTGTAATTTTTAATAATTTTAAATTTTTACCAAAGGGTGAAGACTATTAAATAAGTAAAGTATTTTTAAAGAGCCAAAAAATAATGAAGCTTAATGAAGTAAATGAGAAGAAAAAATGTTGAATTTTAAGAAATTCGGGTTTTTGCATTTTTGATAATTTTTAATTTTTTGCTGAAGGGTGGAGACTATTCAAATAGTAATATTTTCCTACCAAAATAGCTAATGGTAACTAATTATTATTTTTTTCCGGTCAAATTAAATTCTCGGCTATTTCGTGATTTTCCAGATTTACTAAAAATTTTGAAAGTTAATTGAAAAATGGAAATGGAAAATTTCATTTTCCATAGAGCGGATAAAGTACTTTCTTCAATTGAAGAAATCTGTTTGTTAAGTAGTAAAGTCTAATTTGAAGTATTATTCAACCGATGAAAACTCACTTTCGCAAAGGCTTTGTCAATTATTCCCTCCTCGTGGAGTTTTTTCCGAATGTACTCAGCGGCTTGAACCATTCCTTTGTGAGCTAGCCAGTCTTCTCTAGGCGGTGATAATGGCAATACTTCACCCTCTGCATTCAAATCCGTCATCACGTCTTTCAGACTAAGGGTCCCGCGAATACTAACCACCACCTGGAAAATCGTAACAACACTCATTAGTACTTTACACTCATTACTCGCAGAAAAAAAGGCGCACTAGTTAATATAACTTTTCGAAAAAAAGAAATTCTATTTTAAAAAAATATTTCTTCTTCCGGAAAAGCCTTTTTCAAAATGTCTTTGTTTCAATTTCTTTCATCTTTATTTTTTTATGCTTTCATTTTTGTTTTTTTTTTTTGTTTCTATTTTAATTTAATTTAATTTAATTAAATTTTAAAAATCTGTTTTTAAAAATATTTTTTCCCTTCAGTTTAAAATAATTATTTTCTTTCTCAAATTCTTTTTTCCTACAGATTTTCTTTTTTCAAAATCAATATTTGTCACCTTTTTATTGGTGTAATCTAGCGCAACAAAAAATGGAGTCTCGCCAACGTCGACATGGTAAGTGGCATAAACGACCTCGACTTGTCCGATCTCCACCAATCTTCGAAGTACAGCGTAATTGCATTGGCAGCAGTTATCCTCGACGACTATAGTTTCATCTTCTTCTCCTTTGCATGAGAAGCAGCAGCATCTTAATCTGAGAGGGGGAGAAAAAAAATTATTATCCAATAAATCGCATCAACGCTTCTGCTCTAGATTTCCATTCCCCGAGAATCTAAACACTTGCTGGAAAATCCTGTAAATTATCTAGAAGCTAAGACTCTGAAAATACAAAACAAAATAGAAAAAAAATGACTTAAAATAATCCTGCAAATTGTCCAGAAAATGAAAGACTCAAAAAATAAAAATAAAAAATCTATATTAAGTTTTAATAAAATTCTATTCAACAATAATGAATTTCCTGCGAAAATTTTTATTAAAAATTTAAAATAAAAATAATAAACAAGAATATTTAATATTATGTACTTAATAAGTCGAATTCTTTAAATTTTGAATCTGATTAAGAAAAAAAATTATTTAAACAATTAAAAAATAAAATCACCTTGTACATAATTGGCAAAGGCCACTGGACTGTGAGACGAGAAATAGTGGCCAGCCATAAGCGGCTAATGCAAAGTGCATATAATGAACAGCTGGCAGGAAATACTTCAAATCTTCTTCCTCGGTCAAGTGCAGGAACTTAGTGCGAGGAGTGATTGGCACTCCTGATAGGAACTCATGGATATCGTTCTTTCCCTGCTTCACGATCAGCTCTCGTTCAATTTTCTGAAATCTTCGTAATAACACTAAACCCGCCACGACGTCCGACGGAACTACGTCTAAATCCCTGAAGAAATCGCTCAATAGCTTCGCAATATCCGCAAAGGAATTCTAGAGGGAAAAAAAATTGGAATATGAAAAAAAGATTTTTTTCCTCCTCTTCCTCAAAATAAAACGTTAAAATTAAGAAGGAAAAAAACTTTTAATTAAAGAACAAAACTTGGCTAATAAATCATAAGTCTTATTAGAAATAGAAAAAAAATAGAATTAAAAAGAAAAAAAGGGAAATTTTTGTTTCCTTTGAACTGACAGAATGTTTATAAACATTCCCGCATGTTGTTTATTTAATATAAATAAATAAAATAAATAATAACATTAGAAAAAAAGAAAAAAGTAAAAAGAAGGAAATAAAGAGAAATTTTTGCTTCTTTTTGAACTGCGGGGATGTTTATAAATAAAATAAATAATAAAATAAAAAGGTAAAAAAATATAAAAATCGAAAATAGAGAAAAAATAGAAAAAAATAAAAATTACAGAATATAAATAAAAAATTTTAAATATTAATTAACTTTCGAATAAAAGGAGAATTACTCTATTTCTATCGGAGTTTCCCATGCAGCAGAATAACATTCTACATCTATTGTCCCAACTATCCTGATAGGCACGAATGACTTTTCTGCAAAATAAAATACAAAATTAATTAAATTAAATTTTTCAATTATAATTACTTCTTTTTCTTAGTTGTAATTTATTTTTTTTTCAAAACAATACCGTTGTCGCCAATTTCTATTCCTGCTACCGCTACGTTTGTAGTGCATTCTGTCGCCCCGTGATTCAGCTTCTCGTAAACTACGTTGATATTTCTTCATTTTCACCCAGGACCTGCCTGCAGTATCATATGTACACCACACTGTCACTACAACTGACGCTTGAATACACCAGTTCGAAATAATGAGAGCTGTAAATTTTTAAATTTCAAAATATATTTTTCATTTCTTTTTTTCATGAACAAAAACTATTTCCATTCTTTTTTTTAATGGAAAAAAATATATTCATTCTTTTTCTATGTAGGTAAAGAAAATTATATTTATTCTTTTTTTGATGGAAAAAAAAATAAATATTTTTTTTTAATGGAAAAAATATATTAATTCTTTTTTTTATGAAAAGAAATATATATTTATCGATGGAAAAAAATTATATTCATATTTTTCGATGAAAAAAGAAATAATAACAATTTTATTAACATAATCGAGTAATTTCCAATTTTAAAGAACTAAAACCTCATGAATAAATTTTCTTTTCAAATTTAAATTCACTTCGTGAAACTTTAACTTCATGGCGAAATGAGCAAAACTTTTTTTTTAAGAATGAATTAAAAGTGAATTGTCGACGTTCATTTCGTACCAAAACAGTCGAGATGATCAATATCTTAATATTTTTTTCCTCTCAAACACGTTTCTATTCTTATTTTTTTTCTAAATAAATAATTTCTTATATATTTTAAAAATAATTTCTTGTATTTAAAATTTTTAATTTATTGAATAGAAAATATTTATTTAAATTATATTTACTCTAGATTTTTTTCATTGAATAGAAAATATTCTTTTATTAAATTGAAAATTTCTTATTCAATCAAAAATACTTTATTTATACAAAAATAATTTATTTATAATAAAAAAATACGCTTTTATTGATTAAAAATCTTTTCATTTGTTATTATTTTATTTTTCTCTAATTTTTTTGTTAAAAATAAATTTTCCAAATCCACTCACCTAACATAATGTCCTTTTTCGTCTGATCCACGGGACAAGATTGATAGAAATATGCTAACCACGTCACACCAGCGCACAACCATCCCGTCTCAACTAATAATAAAACTGCAATCAAATACAAAAAACAAAAATTAAATTCTCATTTTCCCTCATTAAATTAAAATTACAATTTAAATTTGCATACATAAGAAACTTAAAACAATTCAATTACTCTTCCTCTCTTTTCATCCCTATAAAGTCTCGAGGGAATTTTTCTCCAATGTGAAATTATTTCCCTCTATACAGTACTCAAGGCATGATATGTATAAGCCCCAATCCACAAATTTCCCTCATACTTTCTAAAATCTTTAAAAAAAAGTTCCATCACTGCCTCCATAACGCACGTCAATTCGTATTTATAGCTTAAAACTCCTCAAACTTTTTACAAAAATGGGAAAAAGTTTCCTCATTCCGAAACTATTAGAAAACATATTTCAGGTTGAAAGTTTTTTTTTCATTTACTCTTTCAAATTAATGTAACATAAAAATTTAAAAAAAAATAAATAAAGAAAAATTACAGAGAAATTATCGACAGTTATTAATTACTATTTGCTTTTTATTAAAACCGTTCTTTCTTTAATTCTTTAATTCCAATCGTAACAATTTCATTTTGTCAAAGTAAAAAATTTGTTTACCCCCCGCAAAAAAAGAAAAAAGCTTCGATAAAAATTTCCTCCAACTTTGATCAAGTAAGGAGAAAAATATTTCAAGAGAAAATTGACACTGCACGCATCAACGAATAAACAGTACGTGATCGGAAAACATTAGATTGGCAGCGAACTACAGGTTTTAAAGTGAACATGAGAGGAAAATCCATCCTCTTTTCTTCTTCTCTCTCTCACTCTTTTTTTTTTTTTTTTTTTGTTCTTGGCTTTCGTCCAAAAATCTTTTTTGTTTGCGTCGATTCTTTTTTTCCTTTCTTTAAAACCGCACTCTGAAAGTTCAAAGATCAAACGAATTTAATCTGTTTCAGATGAAAATGAGGTCACATGCCCATAAAAATTTCTCTATTCTATATAATATGCAGTCATCGAAAATTGATGGAAATAATGTACTCTGAAATTTATCATAATCCATTAAAATATAAAGGCGTTGAAAAAATCATTAATATTGAAATACTTGGCGATTATAATACTGCCAAGTATTTTTTCAATTCTTTTTACTATCTTTGAGTAAAATTATCAATAGTTTGTTTTTTATATTTGGGATAAATTTGTATCTATAAGAGAAATAGTTCAAGAATGGGAGCAGAGACTTAATTTTAAAATCGAAAAGGTCAATTTTAAATGCACGTAAAATTTATCTTTTTCTGTATCTTTTTATATTTTTCGTTCTATCTTCTGTTTAATTAACTAATTTTTCTGTTTATTATTTTCTACGTTAGTCCTATTATCATTATTTTTATTATTCCTATTATTTTCTATTCCTTCTTTATTATTCCTATTATTCTTATTCTTTTTTATTCTTATTACATACTTTTATTCTTTTTTTTATTATTCGTATTATTTTTATTCACATTATTATTTCTATCTTTACTCCGACTTTTATTCCTATTTTCCGATTTTATTATTCTTATCATTATTATTATATTTCTTTGTTCTATTAAGAATAAAAAAAATCCGTGACTGTTACGAAGTGGAATATAAATTTAAAAAAATAAAAATTCTGGCCAGGAAAGATTCTGTCAGTCACATGTTTCAGTGCGATAAGAATTGCAGTTTTTTTTTTATGACAAAATATTTCTAATAAATTTCTTTTATGCGAAGAACCTCACGTTGCATTTCTAAGGGTTGATAAAAATATCCCACCACATACAAAAAATATGTGACATTATTTCAAAAGCTTATCGAGTTTATTAGGATCAAAATTATTTTCCCCCTTTTGTAACAAAATATAAATAGAAGGAGTTGAATCTAAAAAAAACCTCAATTCAAATACAAAACAAAAATAAATCTATTTATCTATATAAATAAATAAATAAATAAATAAATGATAAATAATTAATTAATAAAGAAATAATAAATAAATAAATAACAAATAAAGAACTAAATGAATAATAAATAATTGATTAAGAATAGAAGAAATAATAATAAAAAAATTAAATTTACAATCAAGTACCTATTTTTATCGAAATTAGAGAAAGAAAACAATTATAAATTTTTTTTATCGAAAATCTTCAATAAATTGACAAAGTAAAAGTACTGTGTTTGAAATGAAAAAGAAATTGAGTTTTTTTTCTACAGGAAAAAAACGAACAATTTTTTTTCGATACGGAGAGAAATCTACGAATTCTTCAGTAAACGATGTCCCCCAAGAGCTATCGTTTATTAGGGTAAAATGCCTATAAGGGTGGCTTCAATTCTTATTAATATTCGTTCCTCGCCTGCGAAATTGGTGTCTGGCCAGAAAACCAGTTTCCACCTTTCCTTCACGATTGTATTGACATTTAAATAGAAATTCAATTCAATGGAAACTTTATTTTTAAACTTTACACTAGTTTCGCAAAAAAGAAAAAAAAACACGAATCGAATCATAAAAAATAATAATAATAATGAAAAAAAAATAATTTATACTAGTTTCGCAAAAAAGGGGGTCAATAGATAATAATAGAAGGATAGAAAACAATTCAAATTTTGCAACAACAAAAATACGAATTAAGCCACAAAAAAATAAAATTAAAAACTAATTTTAAAAAATACTCGAATTTTTAAAGATGTTTTAAAAAATGATAAACGGGAAAACGTGAAATCTAAAATATCAAAAGATACTTGTATAATTAAAAGAAAAAAATTTTAAACTGGAAATTCAGTTCATTACTCCTGAGATTTAGTTACTGCTCTCGCTTCTCTCTATGTCTCTCTATCCCTGAGAACTGGGATAATTTTCCCAAATTGGATTTTACATGAAGTACTCTGCAAAATACGATTCATCATGAAATGTGAGCAGGTCGCGAGAGTAAATGCCAGAAAATGTCAAGAAAATGAAAGGATGTTTAACGAGACAGATCCTTGAGTTGTCTTCCAAATTTATGTGTATCCGCGAAACAATTAAATAATTACAAATACAATTCAATTTTTGGAGAACACAAAACCTTTCGATTGTACTGAAAAAAATACAATATTACTCTTGAGAAATACCCTTAAATTCAAGTTTAAGTTTATTATTCTAATTTATTATTAATTAGTAATCACTAATTACTAATTTAAATTTTACCCTTATTACTTAAATTTAAATAATAAAATTTAATAAATTTAAATAATGACACTGAAATAGCTCATTTTTTTTTAAATTATCCACTTTTTTCTATACTTAAATTTTTTACGAGATGTCTTTTATCCATTTTTCATTTATTTTTATTGTTATAAAAGAAGAGAATATGCTAAGAGAATAAATTCTTAATAATGTCGCTCATGTATTATAATTTCACCCCCCCCCCCTCCTTCCCACTCTCATGTAATAATAATTCATTTTTTTTTCAAATTCCATTCCTTTTATAACTGTTTTAATAAATTCTGGATTCTTTTCTATTTTTCTTTTTTATTTTGGTGTTTTTCCAACTCCATCGACCTTCGACCCATTTTACGAAGAACAGGACAAGAGGAATGCTTCATTAAGTCTCGAGAATTTTTCACAATTCAAAAGATTTTTCAAACGAAGATGAATATAAAAAAAACTGTATGAATATTTATAATTGCGCAAATATTATAATCCACACGAATGCTATTTTTTCTAGTAAAATAAATTTCAATTAATTCTATTTTTGTAGGAAAAAAATAATTTTTTTTGTAATTTCTTTTATTTTTTCTACTTTTTCTTTTAGTTTCATTTACTTATTCTCTGAATTTCTTTATTTTTTCTTCTAATTTCGTTTGCTTTTTCATCTAACTTTTTTTTACTTTTTCTCTTAATTTCTTTTGCGTTTACTTTTAATTTCATTTTTAATAATCTTTCATGGAAATTTTGTATATTTTGTCAACAAAAAAATTCAAAAGGGAAAAAAAATTTAAATTAACGTTTAATCCCAAGAAAATTAAGTTTGATCAAACTTTCATTCAGAACGAAAAGTTTAATCAAACTTTAATTCCACACTAGAAGAGTTTCTTTTCGCCCGCAAGTTTTATTTCATTTTATGTACAACATCTCTACAGTTCGAAATGTAAAATCGTCAAAAACTTGTAAACATTTTTAAATTCGCAATTTTTCAAGACTACAAAATTTCCATTGAAAAAAATTTGAAAAATACACTATTTTGTCAAAAATATCAAATTGATATAAATACAAAAATTGATGTAAATTTGATACTTTCAAGTAAACAGTGAAGTAAAATAGAAAAAATCAAAATGGATAAAAGAGAAGCAGATACAAATAAAAAAAAAATCAAAATCGATTTAAATTGTTCGTAAATATTCGCTACGGAAAATTTGCTATTTCGAAAATAAAATTCTCAAGAAACTTTTATATAAAAATGCAGAGGCAGACATAAAAATACAAAAAAATTAAATAAAAAAATTCAAAATCAATTTAAATTTGTAAATATTCGCCACGTAAAATTTGCTATTTCGTAAAAAAAAATTTTTCCAGAGAAAAATTCTCTCAATAAACTTACACAGTCGTATGTAAAGAAGATAGGGCATTGGAGCTCTTGCATTTGTATCCAAAATGCTGCCTCTCGTCGCCAACAAGCAAATAGAAAACTCAACAGACATCGTTAATATGAATATTGTCAAGTAGCCGAGAATATAGTCCCAGAGAAGAAGGATGCAATAAACGCCACGATCCCACTCAAGAATTCCCAATATCAACGCCAGAACTATCATCCTGAAAAAAAAGACAAGAAAAATATGGTCAATATCATTTGAAAATATTCAACAAATATTCCTTATAAACTCAGTGAATAAAGTCAAAAAAAAAATGAAAAATATTTTCCTCCCTTTATTCACGAATACAAAATTTACAAATCCTTCACTCTCTCACTCCTCTGAGCCCTTAAAGATAAATGTATAAAATGTTCACAGAATTTTTCATTCCATGTAAATTTATTCAAATTCCCAATTTGCATTCTCTCACAAACCCAATTTACAATATCCAGTGTTACTTTCTAAATACTCACTGGATTTTAAATATATATTTTTTTTCTAGAAAAAAAAAATTTCCAATTCCCATGTAATTTGTCAAAAAAAAAAATTTTTTTTTTCTGTCGAACTGCAAGTGCAATTTAAAAATATTTTATGTACCTATTTCTTCATTTCTAGCGCGTACTTTATCGAGTCATAAAAATGTGTTCCTCCGTACTTGCGGAGATGATAAAAAGTCCCCCCTTTCCTCTCTCTCTCTCTCGTTTTCTACATTTAATGGAACGTTTTAAAAGGGATTTTTTTTCTTCTATTTTTTAAAAGATTTATCCCCACCTTTTACATCACGGGTACAAAATATGTAATGATAAATGTAACACCCGATGAGGAGAAACGATTCTGAATTAATAATAGTACTCGCATTAGTTTAAAAAATTAAAGAAGGAAAAACAAAAAGGGTCACGATTTGGAAGTGTGTCTAGAAGGAAACATGCTGAGTATAAAAACTAAATAAATGAACACCTCTTTGTATTCAACAGCAATTGTTACTTCATATACAGAGAATTTTCATTTTTACGTGAACTGAATTTTTCCACCATTGCGTATTATTTAATGCACAATTTTTGGATTTTCTCTCTTGAAATCTACTTTCTGTTATTATTCACATAATTGAGCGAGAAAAATTTCACCTTAAATGTACAAAAAAAGTAATTTTTCTTACGGCAAAATTTAAAGTTTTGACTTTAGTTAAACTTTAAATTAATTTTTAAATTCTTTAAATTAAAACTTGAGAGAAAAGAAAATAATATAAGAAAAGTAAATAAATAATAATAATAAATAGATATGAAAACTATAAATTAATGAAAAAAGCAAATAGATAAATAAGAAAAGGAAGTTAATAAATAAGCAAATAAATAAGAAAAGTCGATTAATAAAAAAAGTAAATAAATACGAAAAGTTAAATAAGATTTGGGTAGTAGCTACAAAAATTTGTTTTTTACCCTAACTTTTCACTGATTTCCAGAGACAGAATTTTGACTTTTTCCCTGCTCCATATAAAAAAATGCCAAAGGAATTCGATTATATAAAAAAGATAACTTTTTTTAAAATCTGATTTAAAACTTTACGGACATCTAGCTATTTGGAAAATAAAATTAGTTACTGTAGCAGACCTCCCTCGATAATAATTTTCAAAAATTTCAATGAAACTCTTAAAAAATTAAATTATTTTTAATAGATTTTTTGGATAATTTAAATTATTTTTAGTATAATTTTCGCAAATTTCAATTAATTACAAAAAGCTTTAATTACTTCTCTTCATGAAAATTCAATTGCCTTTAAAAAAAATTACGCAACTATTTTATAAATTTAGTTTTTAAAATTTTAAATAAAATTTTTCGAATTGAATGGAAAATATGTAAATAAGTAACAAATTTTAAATTAAAATCTATTTCTAATTAACTGATTAGTAAAAATTTCAATTGGATTCGATTGTAACTCTAGAATTGAAGTATTATCCTATAATTAAATTAAAATTCACTGAACATTCGATTATTTAAATCTCTAATGAAATTCTTTAACAAATTTAACTATTTTCGATTTAAAAACACAAAATTTTAGTTAATTTAATATTTTGGTTAATAATTTTTTTTTCAAAGTATCTTTAAATAATATAATAAAAAAGTCTCAAAAATCTAAATTTTTCAGCATTTTAAATAAAATTACTTGTAATTTAAATAAATTTTTAAAACAAATCTCTAATTGTTACTAATTTTTTCAAAAAAAATTCAATAAATTAAAAATTAAAAATTTTAATAGTTAAGTAGTAAAATTTAAATAATTTAAAAATAAATCTTTAATTGTCACTAATATTTTCATAGCAATTGAAATTTTTAAATCAATTTAGTTTATATCATTTTCAAAACTTTCTGAAATTTAATTATATATGACAATTGTAACTATTTCTATTTGTTAAATAAAATATTTTTGTAAATTAACTGTAATTTATTAATAAATTACCTATAGAAAAAATAAAATATTTTTATAAGTTAAATGTAATTTATTAATAAATTATAGAAAGCAATTCTAGAATTTAATTATTTAAAACAAATTTAATTAGTTACTGAATTAAAAAAAATCAAAGTATTGTTTTAAAATTTACTGCGACTTAAAAATTTTTAAGATAAAAAAGAACTAACGAGATTTTAAGGTTTTCAAGTATTTCAAAAATGCTTTTGGACACTATAAACCAGAATTTTTTTTGTAATTCTTGAAATTTGATAATTTTTTTGATAAAATTTCCCGATTTCCGTGAGCAATTTTCTTTTCCTGATTTTCACCTGATTTCCTTGATCTGTGACAACCCTGGAAAATTAAATAAATAAGAAAAGTAAATAAATAGAAAAATGCACAAAAAATTCTAAAATAAAATATTTTTCAAAAAAAAGAAATATTGAATATTTGGTAAAATAAAGTATTCCTCAAAAAATAGAAATATTGGTTTGAAAATTTAGTAAAATAAAGTATTCCTTAAAAAATATTTTTAATCAATTTTTCCCCATATTTGAAAATTAAAAAAAAGAAAGTTTTGCCTAAAAATAAAAAAAAAAATAACAAATTTTTCCTTATTTGAGAATTCTATAAAATAACTTATTCCACAAAAAATAGAAATATTGCTAATGCTAACAAATTTTTCCCCTATTTGAGAATTCAGTATTTGAATAAATTTCGTGAAGTTTTCAAAGTTGATGATTTTGTTGTAAAACAAACTGATTTTGGCAAACGATATAATAGTTAATTGGTCGAGGGAAAACTCAATTTGGTAATTATTAGCTTAGAAAATTGACGAGCGAGAGAGAAATCGAGAGAGTGAAACCACCGGGGCTAATGGTGCTTTCATGTTGTAGGACAAGTGAGAGAGAGAGAAAGCGGAGTGGAAAAGACTAAAACACGAACAACAGAAGCATGCGGAGTTATGCACATCTCACAATTTGTGAAATTGCATGTTTGAAATTACACGATCAACATTACTCCAAGGATTTTCTTGAAAATTAATCTTGGCGCACGATCTTTGTAATTTTCATTGAACGAGAGGCACACAATTAATCTTCTCTGAAGACACTAATTTATCTTTTCCTATTTTATACTTATCTTGCACTTTGTGACACCTTTGTCTTTATTTGTCAGTTTTCCTTCAAGGGAAGAAAATAGCGGGAGAAGAATGAAGAAATCTCTAAATAAATTGAACTTAAAGGGACAGAAATTCGTTTTTTCTTCTTTATTTCCTTTATTTTTCTTCTCTATTTCTATCTTTTTCTCTATTTTTTGTCTTTTGAGAAAAAATATTATACGTCTTTCAAAATTTATCCATTTTTGTGTGAATTTTGGAAAAATGAAAGAAACTTTATTTGGGGTAATAATAAATAATTGAAAATAAAAATTCCAATGATTTAAAAATAGAAAAAGGGGTTAAAATTAAAAATAAAAAAATTCGGAATAAAATTGATGAAGTAACGATTCTGAAGAATTTAACAGGACCATTTTGCGAAGTAAAGAGAATCATTTTCTTTCGAATTAAGAGAAAGTGTTTCGTGGGGTTTGAATGGACAATTAGTACTGAGTTCTTGTAGAGAACTTGACAAAAGTACTTAGCCCTTTCTATGTTCTCTCCTTCTCTCTCTCTCTCTCTCTCTCGTCTCGCTGCCTATTTCAAGAAGAAGGGGTGATGAAATTGAGGGTCTAGAGGGGGTTTAAAAAATACCATATCGTTGCAATAGACTGTTAGAAAACGAGGGTTTGTCAGACAGGCTGCTGTGTGCGGTCCGTATCGATTTATGTTGTGTGGGCTTCTGTATACGATTTCATCCTAGGCAACATTGTTCCCCGTTGATCATTGCCTTTGCCGGACAAAAACATTCAGACACAGCATCCCTTTTATCCCATTATTATTGTTATTATTTTCATTATCAACAATGTTCTTTTACAAATCATTGTTATTTCCATGAAAATAAAACATCAACTCGATTTAATATTCCTCAGATAATAAATCCCACAATACTCGATCCATTGAATTAAACAAGAGATCCTAAAAAATAAAAATTCATTTTTTCAAATTAAAATCTGTTTATTTAGTGGAAATATTATTAAAACCGAAAAATAAAGTAACAATGAAAATTTAATACAATATTTTTATTATACTTTATTTTCAGTTGTGAACTAAACAATTAATAAATAGATAAATATTGAATAATGAATAAATAAAAAAGCAAAGAGAATTATAAATAAAAATAGGGTGATAGAGAATAATAAATACAAAAAAAAATTACAGGATAAAATAAATAATTTATATAAATAAATAATAGTAAATAAATGATAATAAAATAGTCAATTTATATTCTAATTTCAGTAAAAAGAACAAAAGAAAAATTTGTCGAGAAAATACTATTTAAATTACAGAAAAGAATGAAAATTTGACAATTTGCCAATTTTGTAATTCAGTGGTAGGTATTTTGTTTTTATAATTAAAACATTTTTAAGAAAGAAAAATTTGCATAAAATACTAAGAATTCAAACACGTTAATTAAATTACAAAAAAGAATGAAAATTTGACAATTTGCCAATTTTTTAATTCAGTGGAAATTTTTTTTATAATTAAAAAATTTGTATATAAAATAAAAAATACTAAGAATTCGGACGTTAATTAAATTACAGAAAATACAGAAAACAATGAAAATTTGACAATTCGCC